AACCCTCAACCCCAAACCCCAAACCATAAACCATAAACCCGGAACCCTCAACCCTCAACCCTCAACCCAACCCTTGTTGCTTGGGGTCCAGCGACTTGGGCGCTGCGGAATCACCATGCTCACGCGGATGCGCTGGGCCGGGCCGAGGCGGGTCGCGTAGCGTTAAAATTATCGCCGTTGCAAGTTGCAAGTCGAGTCTAACTGTCTAACCTTTCATGCCAGACTTGTGCACCCAAACATGCAAACCGAATGGATCTTGATCAAGAAAGTGACCTTGATGTCGCTGCATGGGAAGAAGGCATGGTGGAAGTTCACGACGTATGCGGTCTGCAGCAGGCAGCGTGACTACACATTCGTCAAGAGAGTCACAAGCTATGGGTTCAGGATGATTCAGGCTGTGGGAATCAGCCCTGAACACTAACGACTGTGCTGATGCAATGCGGGACGCATGGCTCGCTCAGGGTGAGGGTCGCGTCGGGACAGACCGACTCAGAAAAAGACAAAGACCGAGTCAGGAAACAGGCCATATCAGGCCATTGCGTCAATCGAGGGGCGTGAGTCAGCAAACGGCACGGGCACGAGTCAGAACGCAGGACAGCGACTCAGAAATAGACTGGAAAACAAGAATCATCGCTTCCCCCTATGAGTACACGGGCGCCCCCCCCCCCAATAGAAACTCGAAATGCGTGTCTTCTATTCGGGGGATGCTTTTATCGATATGCCATCTATTGGGATAGGGTTTAGATTGGCTTGCAGGTTTTTGAGGCTCTGAACCCCCTAGTTCGGAACAGTGCTTAAAAAGCCGGGGTCGTTTCGGCAGGATATTCCGGAAAGCGTTTTAATCGTCAGGGGGGGTGTTTAATACAAGGGGGAAGTAATCTCAATGCCCTAGACCCTTGATGACCCTTGAACCTTCAAACCCTGAAACGTAAACCCTGAAGGGTTCAAGGCGCGTCTGCTTTCGACTCAGGCGGCGTGATTGACCCTAGCCCGAGCCGCCAGTAGTGTCAATGTTGTGTTAGCAAACTTAAGTCTTAAGTTCTTGAAAAGTATTGAAAAGTTTGTGTGTGGTACATTCTGGTACAGCCTAGAGTGTACTGGAGTTATTCTTTGCACGTGGGCCTCCAAATCAGCGAGGCCACCTCCAGCAGCACCCAGCTGAGCATCGGCCCACAGCCCAGGCGCTGTAACTGGTGTTAGAGCTGCAGTGTAGCCTCCAAAACTCCAGCGCATGTGACTGCAGCAGATTTGAAAATCGAAGGTTGACAGCTACTACTTGCAGCGATCGGAAGCCCTGAGTCACGGTAGTTTCTACTGCCTCTTGTGCATCTTGGATACTGGACCAAACTCTTTTGCCTTCGCTCACTCTTTTGACTCTTGTGGGTGGTCTTGCAGATTGCAGACGCACAGGACTGATGGAGCTTCCTATGAAACAAAACGAACCGAAGCTCATGTCTGAAGCACGAGGCGTAGCTTCTCTCAACTCTTTCGATGTCTAGTGCCAGCAATGCGGAAAAGCGACTTTGCGGAATACAAACACCATCCGCGGCCAGGAATCGCTGCCTCAGTCTAGAACATGCTAGAGTCAGAGGGTGAAGACGCTAGAGGCTCGATGCAGCCAGAGGGACGCGCCGTCCAGGCACTCAGGACCTCAGCTCTGCTGCTCTTTCAATGATAGTTCTCAATTTTGCTATATTTTGCTATTACAATCGCTCGCGCTCGATGTGGAGGGCACCTTTCTTGCTCTGAAAGGCTCTTTTTATGCATTGACAGATTGCCAAGCAAACGCCAGCAAGGGGAGTCTCACCTCCATGCACTGTTGCACCCTTGATCTTGGGCTGTCCCTCCCATGCCATGCCATGCCCTGTGATGCCTTACATGGCATGAGTAAAACCTACAATAGTTCTACAATGCATTGCATGCCACGAATGGGGCTCGAGCTGAGCTCGTTGTCACCGAAGGAGCCCAGCAGTTCACTGACAATGACCTGGGACCGAAACAGACTTGACGCATTGATTCGCATTGACATCTAGAGTTCAAGGAACCCTCAGAGCCACTGGTTCGCCGACGTCGGCTTGTCTTGGAGCTTCCCACAAACGCATGTCTCCGGCCACAACCTGCACAAAGTTGAGCTGTCAGTTGAGTCAATCCTTAAAAAAAGCTCGCCGAATCATAGGCGCAACAAAAAAAACCACAGAATAAGCCCCATCCGAGGCTAAACATGATTCATATGTTTTGACACAACACAATCGTGGAGAGCTCTGCTAGATTGATGTGAGACCTCACGGGATTGGAATCGCATCTTTGTTTTTGACAGCATGTCAGCATGTCCGAACAGTTGAATAAACGCCTCAGTATGGGAGCGTGCATGGTTGCTCGAAATCTAGTCTAGAATATTTACATCAGAAGCGGCTGCTCAACGTGCTCACCCCCAACGGGCCTTTTACGGACCTTCTCTGGACCCTCGGCGATACTCCCTCTAAACATCTCCAAGCCCATTAGCTCCGTCGCCATCTCATCTCTGTGGGCTGCGTTAGGGTTAATATTAGTTAATATTATGTCAGATCTGCGTGACGGACTTGGGACTTAGGAACCTGCTCCAAACTGTGAATTTGTCAGCCCTGTCAGCCATTGGCATCCATGCTGAGGTTTTATGATGACAGGATATGACAAGACACAGTCACACCAGGTCTTGCCCCTAGGGCCTTAGGGCCTAGGATGCTTCAATACCCCACTTTGCAAAGATAACATTTTCGCGTAGCTGCCATGGGCAAGCAGCTCCTTCCTTGTCTGGCATTGCCCGCCTAAAGCTGCGAATTGTCAGGGTCTGCAAGAAATCTTCTCTCACATACCTTTCACAACGATTTCAATAAATTGTTACCGTGCTGTCCATTTCCCCGCGGCTGTGTGAGCCGCAAGAGGCTTCCTCAGTGACTCAGTGCCTTCGTGGATTGCCGTGAGTCCTGCAGGAGCAACAGCGATTGCAGGTGCTTCCCTACACGAGCTTGTGATCAAAAGCGCTGGAATCCGACAGTGGCGGGGCACACAAACCCTAAACCCTAAACCGAACCAAGCGGGAGTTCACGTTTCACAGGTGTTACACTTTATCAGGGTCTGAGAGGGTCAAAGGAATTTAAGGCCGTTGAAGGGCCTCTAAGGGTCTGGCCAAGCAGTTGTCAGACACTTTCACTGCCGCTGGCAGCATACCCAAACCAGCACACGCCCCCAAGTGACATTCGGTCCGTACTTCCGAATTGGGATTCGATTTGTTTTACTTCGTCGAACTGGGTGTTTAGCCACATATGTTTTTGTAAGAAATCTTATTTGCTGAGCCCATCGCTATTCACTGGGTTGTCCAGTTTCTACAATATGCAGTGAATGTTCGGAAACGGGCCACTTGGCTTGCAAGCTCACCAACGCTTCTTTCCCGCCGACTGTTTTGGGAAACATGTGCAGGCGCTTTCTGTGTGTCTTTTCAAGCCTTCAGTGTTCAGGTCTTGCACAACCAATTGTCGATACCAAGCAAGTTTCTCTGGAGATCTCCGAGCCAAGCTCGCGCAGACAAAACCAGATTTGGGGATCTCGAAGCCTCGCAGGGAACAGCAACATGGTTGACGGGCAAGCCGGCGAACAGTTTTTAACACATTTCAAATTAAAATCATTTTCGTTGTTGAAGAATCTCCCAACCGCATCAAGCCATGCGAAGGAGTTGGAGAGCAAATGCGAAAATCTGATGTTCTGTCATTAGAAGAGACATGCAGTATTGCCTAGACACATTTTCTCATCGTGCATGTAACTCTTCCTGCTGCCGTAGCATGTCCTCAAGCTTCCCTAAACAAACTGCAAACGTCGCAGGCCTGATATATGTGTATATATATATATATGTATATATGCTACCTCCCCGCCCTCCTCATGCACCCACGCCTTTTCTAAGGAACCCACGTCTGGGCAGCAATTTCTCGCATATAGTGCCTTAGAAGCCTTTAAAAAAACTCTCACACTGGGAAGGGGGTTGGAGTATACCCCGTCTTGAAAACTTCTAGATCTTCGTGCATCAAGGCCTTGGATTGAAGATTGAAGATTGAAGATGCCAGGGGAAGAATTTTCGGCATCCAAAACCTTCCGGAGTTTTCTCGCGGAAAATCTGGGTCCTTAGGGCTTGGCGTAAAGGACTTCGGGAATGGGATTGGTTTTATGGGATTTAGGGGCTCTCCTCTACAGAAATTAAAGAAAACCTCCACTTCAGGGGTCTGGGAACACAATTTGGGGAATGAAACTAAGGAAATATGGTTTAGGGAATAAGATTTAGGGATCCTCGTTTGGTTTTAGCGTGAAGGACTTGGTGAATAAGATTGGTTTGTAAAATCCAAGGGCTCTCCTCTTTAGGATTTCAGGATGCCCTGCCTCAGGGCTTAGGGATAACATGAAGGGAACAAGATTTAGGGACCCCGCTCTTTATGATTGAGTGATAAGGATTTGGGTAATAGGATCCTTAAATTCTCAGGAGGAGAGCCCCTGAATCTTGAATCCTACTTGCAAATCCTTTTCCCGAATCCTTTTCTGCCCAATCTCATTCCCTCAATGTTATCCGCTTAGTCCTATTCCCTACAGAGGGGAGTCCTTAAATCTTCAGGAGGAGCCTTTTCAAAATATCCTATTCCCCAAGTCCTTTTCGCAAAGCCCTAAAGAGTGAGATCCCTAAATCTTACTCCCCACATCTTCTTTCCTTCATGTCATTCAAATCACAAAGAGGAGAGCCTCCAGCAGAGCCCAAAATCTGAAAGCAAAAACGAACCCTGTTGCCTAATTCTTGTCTCTAAATCCTAAAGAGCAGGATCCCTTCATCTTATCCCCGTCTGTTTAGTCTCAAATCCTATTCCCCAACCCTAAAGAGGGGGGCCCTTACATCTAAATACCAGATCCTATTCCCTAAATCCTTTTCGCTAAGTCCTAACAGCTGGGATTCCGGAGTGTTCTCCCCCATCTCATTCCCTGAATATTGTTCCCTAAGTCCTATTCCCTAAGCCCAAAAGAGGGCTCCGTAAATCTTAAAGAGGAGAGCCCCAAATCCTAAAGATGTACGTCTGCAAGCCTAAACCCACTAAACCCTAAACATAAGCTAAATCCTATACCCTAAACCCTACATGTTGGGACTACGTGGGGTTTGGGGCCTAGAGAGCGACTTGTCCCTAAATAGTCCGCTGAATCCTGAAAATGTTTTCCTTAACGCTCTTCAAATCCAAAAGCTAGGGTGGGATCCTGTTCCCGAAAGCGTATTTCCTTAGTCTTGTTCCCCAAAATCTTTGTAAAAGTAAAACCCATATGGCGGGTGGTCCTTAATTAATCCTTAAAGTGGAGAGCCAATCCTTAAAAGTGAACTCGGTTGCCTAAAGTATTCCCTAATCGCTAGACGCTCAAACGCAGCAAGATGTAACGGTTCAACCTGAATTTAATGCAGTGGCCTGACGCGTAAGGAATGTTGAACAAGCACGGTTTGGAAACAAAAGATGAAACTGGATCAAATTGATTCAAACCTTATGCAGCTTGAACAAGGCTTTGGATTCAAGATTCAAGATTCAAGGTGCCCAGGAGAACTGGCATCTTGAATCTTGACTCTTGAATCCAAAGCCCTGTTCCAGTTGAATAAGGCTTGAATCAATTCGAATCAGTTTCATCTTGTGTCATCTTCTTCCGGAGCGCCGGAAGTTGTGTGCTTATGTACATACTAAGTAAAGTACATTTCGGGCTCGTCTGCTTATATACGAATTATAGAGTATGAGTTTCAAGCACTCACCTGATCCTAATAACCCACGCCTTTCTGCAGAAGCTGAGATTCTGGAAAAAGGCGTGGGTACATGGGGGGAGGTACTATGCATATCTTGTTGTGGCGGACCGCAGTGCACTGAGTCCTGGGAAAACCCTGTCCATAGCGCGGCCACATCGCCTGCCACATCTGATCTCGCAAGGAATCCAAAAACGTGTCATCAAATGTTGCTGTCTGCAATAGAAGATGCTTGCTTCCTGAGCTAGGAACATGCGGCCAAAGTCACAGTGCATTGCTCGAGGCACAGTCCAATGCTATGCAGAGTTCTGCCGAATGAAGAACCTCGGAAACGCAAAGACAGGCCAGGGGCGCGCCGGGACGTGGCGACGCTGTTCCAATGAAGCGCTGACCTGGTCCTGGCACCAGTGCTGCATCTGCGCGTATCTTCAGTGAATCTTCGGCTCCACATGGGGCACGAAGCCGAACCGATTGTATCCCATATTGTCACAACGTGGCTTAGACTTGGGATATCTTGGGATACCACTCTTCAGGAACAAGCCGTAAGCCATTGTTGAATACCTGGGATATCGAATTCCTGCAGGTCCTCCCAAAAACAGGTTCTGTGTAGTCGTCCGCAAACATTATCGTTGGTTGAATTTGAACCTTGTACAATTCGCATACCGTAGCATGCGTACACTGCTATCTGCTTGCCGTACATGATGAGTATTCCTGGCTCTCTTCACACAAAAGACCAAAGGGGAGCCTGTCGCAACGGAATGCTGGCTGCCTGTCATGCTTCGGAGTGTTCGAGATTCAGTGGCACAATTTCTGGCAGAATATTCATGGCACTCTTCATGTCTTGAAGTCTAGGAAGACTGAAGCAAAGGCCTGCAGAAAAGACTCCTGGATCATTTTGGCCGTGGCTGGCCTACACACGGCTCCGAATGCTCCGACTCTGCAACACTCCCAAAGCATCTCAGAGCCTCCCGAGCTAGGACATGCCAATCAGCACCAGCAATTATCCGACCAAGCCGGTCGAAAACCTTGTGATCAGGTGCCCAGGGCTCTGGCGGTAGCTTGACGGCTGTTGCCGCCGACGGCCTCTTCCAGAACCAGCTGCATCAGGTGCTCCGACCTGCCACAACAGTCTCTTGACGAGCTGGTATGGAATCTATTCAATCTATTCTACCCTCGCATAAGGTGCAGTAGGCGGATTTGCATTCTCGAGTAAACCTCAAAACTTCCAACAATGCCGTCACCCTTCAAAAGATGCCAGCAGCACTGTTCTCTAATGGCCAGCAAGTCGGCTCGCAGCTTTTGTTGGGTCTGCTTCTCCCTTTGCGGTGGGCAAATGTTGGCAAAAGACGTTGGCCAGCGGTTGCTGCATGATGCTTGGGCTCAGGCACAGCGATCTGAGCATCTCGTTGCGCCAAATGCTGCCGCATCTGTTGCACCTTCAGTCGGGCTCGGAGTCGGAAAAGCCCTCCTAGAATGCGCAAGAAGTTTCGGGTGTGGCGAGATTTGTTTAAGAGGAATCTTTTCGGGCTTAGGGGCAGGAGTCTAACCCCTCCCCCCACTAGGTGACGGAGATTTTTCGGCGGCTTTTAAAGGGCTCCCACCCCCGAAAAACTCCAGCATAGCCCCAAAACCTCACCACCTCCCTAAGTTTAAAGGGCTCCAGCCAGCCCTATGTAGCGTTCTCAGCGACTTTTACGCAGTTTCCTGAAGTTCAGCTTTGGGGAAGTTCTCTCCCCTCCCGGCTGTGGGGGTAAGCGGTAGCCATTCAATCCGGGCACGCCCGTGGCCGACGCCGCTAGGCGCCAGCCCTAGCAAAGCTACCCATGCCGCCGACCCGATTGGGAAACCAACGTCCGGGTCCAAACGCGCTTTCAGGCTAGACCCCACTTAATTTGGGCTCCTGGATGCATTTTTTGGGTGCCCCCACGGGGGGTCCCAAAAACGACCCTGGCGCGCATCATCTTCCCTTTTGGTTTTCCACCTCTAGCGAAAACGCGTGGTTGATCTTGGAGGGTACCGACAACCCGAAACGACCCCAAAACCAGCACGCATCCTGAGCATCAGCGGGTCGGGCCTGGGGTTTTGGAAGCGACTGGGAGCTTCGAAAACGTAGAAAACGCTGTAAATGTCGCGGTTACGCATATTTCCGTGTTGAGGCCGCCGCATGCTCCCAGAATCTCCCACAAGCCACCAATGCCTTGAGGCCGAAGCCGCTGCTGCTGATTGCCATAGCATGGTACGCGTCCCGACGTTGTGGTTGTGATTCTTCTTTTTATTCTTCCTTTTGCTCTTCTTCTTGCTATTCTTCTTCTTTCTTCTTCTTCTTCTTCTTCTTCTTCTTCTTCTTCTTCTTCTTCTTCTTTTTTGCTTGTCCCCCCCTCCCGCGCAATCCACCTCTCAAATGCCCTGAACCCTATAGGCCCTAGCGCCCGGCTGTGGGCGACATCCCCTTACTGTAGATATGGAAATGCCCAAATGCTCCACATGCTGGACAGACTGGATACTTCAGACGCGCTGAAATTTTCAGGAGTATCACATTGCCAAGTGCCGCGCTGTAGCATCAGACTGCACAGCTGGGCCTCTGCATAGGCTGGCTTACAATGTGCAACTTTGCACAGCAACGCATGCGATGCACTGAGCGCTGAACCGTAGGAAACCAGATTGGCTTCAGCTTTTTCGAAGTTCCATCCGAGTTCAGCATGTTTTGCCCTCAACTCCTGCACTTTTCCAGTTCTGGTTTCCCACTCAATGCTAGTCCTAGCGTGCAGGCAACTGCGAGCAACAAGTCCTCGAGCTCGGAAAACATGTGCTCAAGGGCATCCATGTCAAAGTGCCACGCAGGAAGACCTCTGTTTCATGACGATGCAATTTGCACTGCCCGACATCTACAGCTTAAATTCCTGCGACCTCGTATGATCGAAAACGAACAAACCGAATCTCGAACCCGACGACAACCGACTATTTTGGGGCTTCGGTCAGGTAACTAGAGTCTCCCGGACCGTGATGCACCGTGTGGGTCGGATCGTGGCAGTCCGGGCTTGAGGAAGCTTCGGATTGTTGTACCATGTTGTACCAGAAGTGAAAGCTGTCTGGAGAATTTAGCGGTAATGGCATATTTTGAGACAGGCTCGTGCGGGCAACCACCGCTATTTCTAAGCTGTCATCAAAGCGTGACCTCTCCCTCGATAAAGATTTGGAAGCCTCAAAGGCCTAAATGCCACTGCAAACTCGAGCGCAGGCCCTGTGACCAGCTGGCATGCTGCGGTGGGTTGCGAGGTTGAAGCAATGAGCTAATTTAGCGAAGGCACTGCAAAGCAACTGATCTCCCTCAGAAACATTTTCATCACCGTGAAGCTTGTGCAGGCGATACACCTGGCAACTTCTGTACGTAAGCAAACTCGCGCAACCACCTCGTGCGTACGGCGTACATTGTCTTTCTTACCAGTACCATATGATGTCTGTTGGTGAGGGTATGTTGCAGCCCACTGCCGCCCACCCGAGGTCCACAGACGGGCATAGTCGGCTTTCGAACGGCATGTTGTCGCCCACAACAGCGGGTGCCAGCCATCAATCTTAAACGTTAAAGTACCATAAAGTACGCATCAATACTCGGACCTCGATACCGCATCCAATGTCCACCAGAGATGGGTCCAGCCTGTCCATTGAAAGCCATGAGCTTGGAATGCTAGGACGGGGCACTAGCAGTCTTCCATCCTGTTCTCATGTCGTGGAGACATTCTCTAAATTTCTAAATATCTGTTAACATTCTGTGTTCAGCTCAATTGCTTGCCTGGTACGGCCTTTCGAAGGTTTGGTAGGGGGACCCCATTCTGCCACAGGTTAGGCTCCCAGGGTCGGATGATGCCGTGTTACATGGGCCATCTGCAAGCCGTGCCGAGATACTGCTGGGATCCTTCGAAGGCTTGGCTGTCTATACGGCAGGGGCCTCAAACTTCGTAAAGGGCCCGGCTGATACTGAGGATGGGCTACTTCAGTGCTACTTCCATGATCTTCCATGGCGCACCGGACATACAAGCATCGACGAAGGATTTTGCACAAAAAGTATGTGCCAAAAACTATCTGCTCAGCAGAGAACTTCCCTACTAAAGGACACTGCGATTCGCACCTTGACACAAACTCTGCTGCGACTTGACGGGACCTTAGCGGGTTCAAGCTTTGTTGCAGCCTTCACCTGTCTCATTCCACCAACTGCCTACCATGCTGCAAAAGCGGCGCGTGAACGAGGCGCACACGTTTGCAGCATGGAAGGGGGAACCTATGCTCAGACCCGCTCGGAGTTGGACTCGTTGATGTGTGCAAAACTTGTGCAAACAAATGCAAACAATCTCGTCTTCAGCATTTGACTTTCTGAGGCCCGCCTCGAAGGCCCGAAGCGCGCACGAGACTTTGGCCATGCCGATCGGCAAGAGGCTACAGTGCGGCCGCAGCGCGTCCTTTGGCGCTGCTCATGCCCAGCTACCCAGTTGTCCTCAACAACAGACTTCAGTCACACTATGCATTCTCATGCTGAAATCATGCTTCATCATGCTTCTGTGATTCATGGCTTAGATACGTTAGCAAGCAAGATCCGTAGCAGAACCTTGAAGTGCCGGACTATATAGTGCGGTATGCTGCTGTGATACCTGCTACCGTCACCGTCCGCCATCATAACGCTTGCCGGTACAGCATGGTGCTGTGGCAGTCTCATGCATCCCAATGTGCACAAGGTGTAAGGAAGATCATGGAAGATCCTATCATCGCAAGCGCTCACGCATTGAGCCACCTCTGCAGAAAATCACAGGGAACCTGCTGCTACTACAGTATGGCACATGTCGCGACTTGCCTGCACAGATGTCCACCCGTCTCGCCTTTGTCTGTGACCTTGGGACGAGTTGGAGAGCTTCGGGTCTCGGGACTGAGTTGGAGAGCTTTGAGGCGGTGTCGAAGAGCATGGACCTGTCGGGTAGTCAGCAGCCCATGTTGACATACAAGCCAAACGAACACTCAGCAGTTCATCAAGAGGGGCCGCGGCTGCATTCGGATTCTTCTCGACTGCATACAGCTCTATTTGCACCTGGTGCCAAGATGATAGCTGGATTAAATGGAGTGTTGGCGCCAGACATTTGCAAGACATATTCATACAACAAAACGAAAAAAGCCTTGCATCTGGTGCCTCTGCCTTCTCCGCTGCCTTCACAGCAGCCTCTACCAAAGGACCACGCCCAGCACCCAGAACCATCACCTGCAGTGAGAAGAGATGAGAAGAGTGAAGGTGAAAGACAAACTTTATTCAAGCAGAAGGCGAAGGCGAGCATGTCAAATCCATCGCAAGAAGTCAAGAGCAATTAAACAACACGGAAAGACTTGGCAAAGAGACAGTGTGACAAGAAGACACCACAAGGTGCAGTCCATTGTGTTCTGGTGAATGGATAGGAGAACTAGGAAAGCACTGCCAAATACCGTTAAACTGCAAACAGAAGAGTCTCCTCCCTTCAGGACATTTGCACTTCATTGCAAGACCAATCAAGGGTTCATGATTCTTTTTCGACTTTTCGTCACTAAGTAGCACTGAGTACGGTGTGGTACAGAGGCTATACAGAGAGCAAGCAAGTTGTGGACGGATCGTCTCTGCAAGTTCTTCACATCTCATGTTACGAAACGGAACCTATTATATGTCTCGGGTTGTATGAGCATGTTGGGCCCAGCCACGCAGAATGGCGGTTGCCTTCCTTGTGCTAGGCGATCGCGAAAGAACGAACGTATTGCCTGTTGGCATGATGCAGGTCGTGACAGTTCAATGACGACGTGCCAAAATCCAAAATTCGCCAGCTCGGCGTGTTGGTAGTTTGCCTGAGGGAGGTGTTGGACAGGTGTGACACTCGAAGTGACAGGTGCCTGAGGTGCGAGCGTACTTCACTGGATCTCTTTCAAAGAGCTCGTAGGTTTCAGACTGCAGAGGATGTCTAGTATGTCAATACCTTATCGCTTCCAACCAAGATCGCACTTGGCACAGTGGCTTGAACGGGTGCTCACAACAGGGGGTTCATTCATGAGTGTGTTCGCAGCATAGGTACAACTACAGGCGAGCGATGCAAGCAAATTGCAAAGCCGTGAAGAGAAGATGAAACGCAAAAGCACAGTAATTAATGCAACAGATTGCACGCAAGGCTTCAGTGACGTCGGGTAACCGAAGATTCGGCAGACCGACCCATCTGGGAAAGGGCGCATTCTGCATGAGAAGCATTCTACGACATGTTATTAGACAGAAAGAGGGGTTCGAACCCTCCAGCACTGAAAGCTTTCTTTCTTGCACCACCCTGAACAACTTGTTTTGGCCGTAGGAGAAAAGACTTCCGGGATGGCATTTTTGCTGGGCCCGTCTCCGTGTGTCCATGAATGTCCTAGCTGCTCCTAGCCGGGAAACACGGAACAACTGAAGTGAGCGCTCAAGTGTCCTCCAGGTTGTCTGCAAGCGGCTGCAGGGGTGCCTTGCCAACACTATGTAGCGCACAAGGTCTTTCGGCTTTAAATGGCGCTGCCTGCAGCGTGTCCACGTGGGAATGTGAAAACCGCTCCGCTTGTGAGAGTGCGGGCAGGTCCTGAAAATCTGGGAAGCAAGTCTCGGAAAAGGAAGAACACGGAAGTCAGCGACTGAATGCAGCTGCCAAAACATGGTAGCAAAGACCTGCGAGCACCGCTTCAGTGGCTTTCGCAACTGCTCTTTGATAAGTAGGGTGCTGTATACACTGTAGACTTGACAGAACGGCCCAGAACAAAGCTGGCCGTTGCTGTTTCTGAGTACGGCTCGATGCCCATCAACAAGATAAAAAGAAAGAACGATCAAGGATTTACCCTGGGGAAGCTTTCCCATGCCTAACGGCTTGTAGTCAGCTCCAAGAATGTTGCTTACAATGCCCTTAGGTCCTGGAAAAGGCGTGCCAAGTATGCGAGCCGTGTTTGTATACCCTGCCAAGCAATGTCATCTTCACACAAAGCACGCCGACATACGCCGACTACTAGCAAGATCTGTTCAGAAGATGTTGCCTCATAGTCGCCTCCTTCACGCTCCGCAGGCCCACACAAGATAAGCTGCACCTCACACTTCCAGCTGCAGAAGCAGCAAAACGTCTGACATTTACTACGAAGGGGCCTTTCGCCGGAACAACTGTTGGAGAAGAGCCTCGGCAGGAAAAAAAGTCGGGACGCAGCAGACGCTGAGGAGCGCATAAAACGAATCAAATTAGCCTGGACTGAACAGCAATAGTGTCGCACATAGCAGGTACAGTCCTGACACAGCGACTCAGAAAATGATACATTTCAGCGGGGTTCAGCAAGAGCAATAGAAACAGGACTTGACCGTTGACTCGCTGACCCGTTCAATGCTAGTCTACCGATATGAAGATTGCCGCTCACCATTTCTGCGGAGGCACATCGTCTGACCAACATTCGTCGGTACGCTTTTCGGGTATGGTGCATGCGCGACAATGATCGAATATCTTCAAGGTACTATAGGCCTCTGCTATGATACCTTGCAGTAAAACCACTGTATAAGAAACCATTGTATAACAAACTAAGACCCTAGATCCAGGGATTTTGTGCGATTTGCGCTTGCCTTTTAGCTAAGAAGAAACCTAGGGTACCCTAGTGTGGGCGGGAACCCTTTCTTAAAATTCTGCCTGCAAAAACCCCATCCGGGCCTCCATGCCTAAACACCAAAAATCTTGGCTGCTATTGTACCCTAAACCCTAGAAATCTCAGAAACCCTACAAACACTAATAAAGCTCTGAACCCTAAAAAGACCCTCTAGGCCTTATAAGCCCTATCATAAGTGAGATTGGTTTAATGACCGCAGGGAGATTCGAACTCAGACCCGTAGGGTAGAAGGGCGACGTCCTATGCACCAGAGCATTGAAAGGCTTGAAGATAGAAAAGTCCCCCGCGCTTCTGGCGCCCCCGTCCCCCCAAAGAGCTTTTCAGGGCTGAAAAGTCCTGGAGAGTGACTCCCACTCGCTTCTGGAGTCCCCGTTCCCCCCAGACGTGGGGGAGTCGGCTTCCTTGATGCTGGTTGGGGCCTTCGGCCTAAACTTTGACATGGAGATCCTTCGCATGTCTCGAGCGATCTTCATCGCCCTTGTGTGCTCGGATTTTCTGCACATATTTCCACTCCTATAGGGGCGATTCTTCCTTTCGTGGCGCAGTCTGCTCCGCAGTTGCAGAAGTACTTCTGCCATCCCCCGGCCCCCACCCCAACCCGCCCAAGACGACTCACATTCTAGGATTTCGATTAGAAGGCTGATGCCAGTATTTAAAGGTTCGGTCTAGGGTATAGTGCACTCCCTTAAGAAACTAATTAAGAAACCAAGACTACCCTAGTTCAAATCCCCCTAGGTACATTGGTGAATGGAAACTTAGAAACTTAGGGTACCCTAGTGCCGGAAACCGTTTTCTTATAAAGCGTTTTTACATGTTTTTTACTGTAGCTTGTCGGAGACATGTTTGTAGCTCGACGAATTGCACCTATCGAGAGCGGGTCAAACGATTCAAATGAGTCTTCAGGCCATCGTTTCTGCACTGATGGTTCAATCTCTTGCATACGCATTGAATAACTCAAAAAGAAACGGAACGAATGGTGTGGTTATCAAGCGAACATCCGATACACTGGCTCTACCAGTCGTTCATGTGCAGTCTGCACCATACGGTCTGAGCTTCGCTGCTGAAGCTTCCGTGAGCCTGTGACTCTTTGTATCTATCGTGCTGCGCGCACCGCGGCAAGCGCTCGTAGGCTCACGGCTTTGCCCTTTTTGGGTAGCACGGGATAGCCGGACCTGGACAAGAAAGAGGAGGATGATCTCTTGATGAACTGCAACGATTGGTCCCATAAAGGAAGGTCATGGCTTCAGGATGTTTATGCAGTGCAAAGTGACAGCGCTTGATTCAATCAGATGCAAAACCGCCTAAACCTTACACCCCAATGGATCTGAACTCTCAAGCCCAAATCCTGCAAACCTTAAACCCCAGCACAGAATCCTGCACGGAACCCTATATACAGGCTCCCGCCGGTCAGGCGATCGCAAGACAGTTGAATAAGACAGGTGTGAGAAGCTTCAGGAGTTCAGAGATGTTCAGAGTAGATTGCGAAGATTTGCGGAGTGTCATCGGCCTGTTCAGAATGAAGGCAGAGGATGGCAGCAGCACGTATCTCACGGGTTCGGCCAACCTGAGCACGAGAGCACAGCGCTTCACGGCGTTCCCCAAGCGCACGCATGTATTCATCATGCTTCTGCTGCTGCTGCTGCTGCTGCTGCTGCTGCTGCTGCTGCTGCTGCTGCTGCTGCTGCTGCTGCTGCTGCTGCTGCTGCTGCTGCTGCTGCTGCTGCTGCTGCTGCTGCTCTTGCTGCTGCTCTTGCTGCTGCTCTTGCTGCTGCTCTTGCTGCTGCTCTTGCTGCTGCTCTTGCTGCTGCTCTTGCTGCTGCTCTTGCTGCTGCTCTTGCTGCTGCTCTTGCTGCTGCTCTTGCTGCTGCTCTTGCTGCTGCTGCTGCTGAGGTGGCGAGAGAGCATCAGTGTGCACGCTGCTTCTGGAATACAGCAGCTTGGTCTTTGACCGTGTCTCTGTGCGCAGAGTGCGATCCTTTCTTCCAGTCCCTAGCCCCACTTCAAGCAAGCCGAGCGAACTTTCAGAACATCAGCCCAACAGCAAAAACGAGAACTACCGAAACCAGAACACAACTCGGATTTCAGAGCATCACAAGCACACCAGCGGCAGCACTCGACTTTGCAATGCCAAATCTTGTTTGCCATGGTCGCCGTGGTCGTCTCTGAGACACTCTCCCATACTCTCCCCACTCCACTGCATTGAAGCTTTGGTCACGGCCATCTTTCCAGCTCCTCGGTTGTTGAAGAGTACGTGTCGACTTGCAGCTACCAGAATATCATCAGAATATTTTGATCCAACCTATCTTGAAAGAAGTAAAGAAGTAGGCTGAAAGAAACCTTCACGGGGGGATGGAGCATTCCGAGGCTGTAGCAGCGTAGCATCACTTGTACAAGAGCTTGGGCTGTTGGCAACGACTTTCTGCTGCTTCTTTAGCCGCATCAGCATGTTCAATCAGTGCATATCAGTGCCAAAGACTTCCTTGGTTCCCAACCCTTTCTGTTGCGCCGGTCACGGTCAATTCCAGGGCAACACTCAGCCTTTCAAAAGGCATTCCGAGAATGTTGCGTGCACTGAGTTGGCGCCTTACTCGCGAATGAACTTTGCAAAGGGCCCTCGCGCCACTCGCTCACACATTTGGGAGAGGTGAAAACCTTTCGTGAGTGTCCAAGTGCCAGGGCTGCCAGGGCAAGGGCCGGTGATGCTGACCGCACAAGCTGCGAAAGCGATTCCACCTTGTTTGCACTATCTTGCACTATCTTGCTCTCATTCACACTGCATGCGAAACAATAGCTAATGCCACGAAATGTGATTTTCATCTTTCACACACTCTGCCCCGCAACCTTCAAAGACAAAGATCCTCTTGTTACTCGACTGACACTTCTCGACACATCTCCTGTCCTTCAGGGGCCGGGCGCACACCAGCCAGAAGCTGCAGCTACGCGCAAACAAACTGGGGCCACGCCTTCCTGCAGAAGGCAAGGATAGGCAAGCAATGAATCTATCCTCTATCCTTCGAGTTGCGCATACTTTAAGACCAAATTCCAGACATGTCTCCATTTCCTTCGCAGCCATGACACGGCTTGTTTCCTTCTCCGGCCCTGGCGCTGGTGCCTCTGAACTTTCTGTGATACCCTGTTCACTGCCGAGGCGAGCTGCGTGGCATGGCGATCAAATACAGTATATAATTATAATTGGTTGCGCAGATGGCTTTAGCGTGGAAGTCCTCGGTTGCTGGCAATGCAAAGAGCCCCTCCTGGAGCAAAGCCTGCAAGTGAACATCTGGCCACCCGGCAATTTCAGGTGCATTGCACATCATTGCACAGTGTCAGTTGTGAGATCTGAGATGCTTGCTCCCACAGCCCTCGCATAGTTGCAGGCAGCATTGCTGGCACGGGCATCTCCTGACTGAAAGTGTTGCGGCCTCTGCCAAGACCGCATGGATCTGTGTGAAGTTGAAGCGGAGCCATGTCATGGCTGAGACAGCGGCTCGGAGGGGGAAGAATGACGGACTGCAAGCCCAGGTGAGCAGCCTGCGAGGATGCTAAAGGTAGCTTTAGTTACTCAAGTTCAGCATACTCGAGTAGTACTCGGTTCTGCGTCCATGGCATGCATAGGTCATAGGTTGTCACACGCTCAATCAGGACAGTGTTTTCAGTCGGTCAAGCAGTGCGGCTCCGCGCAGCCCAGGCATAGCTTGGGTTTGCCTCTGCGGAAACTCAGAACGCCAAATGACACCAACACCACGCTGGTTCGCACAGGTTCACATACCCCTCGACAGATTCTTAGCATTCCTCCATTACTAATCATTACGACAACTTGCCGATATCTGCCGGGATCCTCGTCTGACTTGCAGAACATTGATGCATTCCCGTTTTTGAAATTTGAGATGGTTTTATGGACAACCTTCTCACAAGCAACGGAAGATTGCGTGTCGCCTTCGACCCCTGAGAGAAGTAGTTCACACTTGCCATCTAAATCCAAAAGGCTATCTGGCCATGTGCCTGCGAAGCTCTGATCGCATCCATCACATCAAGGTGTCTTGCAGATTGTGGGGAACGGTTTTCGTATCGAATTGCAGCCTGTCTCTGAGTCCATTCGGTTTCCAATTTCCCTCATGCTCATGTTTCGGTCTAGCCGGGAATGCAGTTATGTTGGGTTGGTAAGGTTGCGTTATGTGTTTCGCTCATACAGTGAACATATGAAGGAGGGTTCAGGATAACGTTTTGCTTTATTTCCTATATGTCTGAGTGTGCCAGAGACAGAGATGGCTCCTTGTCACTCAAGTACTCCGGGCACAGAACGCTGCAAGGAGGGCTCTGCAAGCAACACCGAAACAGCCTTAGTCATGCATAGGCATAAGCGGCATAAACTTGGCGTTATTCAGGCAGTTTCCTTGCGCGACTAAGGCCCAACTTGCGATGTGTGCCGTATACTGCATAGCGTTTCCGTGTTTCCCGACAAAAACGACCCTCGGAGATGCACTCCATTTCATTCCATTTCCATGTTTTGATGTGTTTTGTCACAAAAAGCCGAAGCCGACTACATGCGCCCCTCTGCGACATTGCGAGATCGAAGTTAAGCCCCTGCAGGGTTGCCTGCAGTTTTAAGTTTTAAGAGTTGTCGAGCAGCGTGATGTTGACATCACGGCGACAACACTGATTTGTGTTTCGGGCAATGTCGTCACTGATGCAGAAAGAAAATCAAGTGCACCTCCTGGAACGGCTGCAGGAGCAGCGAGCAGGCATCACAGGCAACTCGGTTGCGCGCATGCCACGAAAGCCTGAGCTGCTGAGATCAACTAAATCAGGACAATCCTAAACTCAAAGGAGATGGGCTACGTATGCCCCAAAGGCAGATGCATTGGGCACATGTTTCTGCTGCCAGGAGCCAGGAGCAGGGGCAAACTTGGGGTCGACCTAGCCCTCTGCCTACTTACTGCTGCCCCCCTTACCCCTACCCCCCCCCCCCCCGGCTCGAAAGAGCTAGCCTTCCCGTGCCATCCTGTTATGCATTCTTGTTTTTCCGTGACAGTATGTGAGGCAAGCCCGCCTCTCCTTTCCCGCTGTCCCCGCTTGCCTGCCCTGCCCTATTTTCTTCCCTTCGCCTACCCAGCATTTCCTGCTTACTTGCCCGCCGTTCCTTCCGAACCCCTGCCCCATACATCTGCCTACTCATTCCCAAGGGCAACTTGGATCTGCAGTGATCTGTCCAACCACGACTCAGCTCTAAAACGCTAAAAGGCATCTTGATTGTCACGCGCAGATTGTATGTGGCATGGTCACATGGAGGAAAACTGCTGACAGTGTACTTCATGCTCAGGGTCTGAGCGCCCGGCAACATTTCGAAGATGTCACAGACTACCCATTTCTTGGCCGTTGCCTGGCAAAGGCTGCATGTCCCACATGTTTCGAGCACCTCTCTCACCAAGTCCTAAGCCGAAACCTGAACCGTCAGGGCCTGGACTTCATTGCTGCGAAGAGAATCGGGCAACGGCGCCTGAATTGCCAGCACTTTCCAGGATTCCGATGTACTTGCAGCAGAGCACGCTTCTCTCACGGATCACCACAATAATTTTGGAACCACGCTCAGCATGTGCACTAACGGGGTGACCTGTGGGATAGCTCGGAGGCGAAAGATGGAGAAGACTACATCTAGGCGCAAACTTTGCATTCTCCTTGACTCGGAGTGTCTGGCCATGCGTGCGAGAGACGAGCGGACCATGCTCTGAACGGAACTGGGCGTGGGCGACCACATCATCTGCCTGCAATCTGGTGCAATATTGTACTACAGTATTGAGGACTGATACAAGAGCCGCAAAGGTTCATGACAAGATATGACACGCATGTTGCCTTGTTTGGCATGAGAAGGAGTGTTTGGCGAGAGCTACTTCACGAGCAATTGTCAGGAGCTTCTTTGAGTATGGCGGCATATATCGGTGTTGCCCGATTCTGACCCACCGAAATCACAGGCCCAAGGCGTGTATAAACAAACAACCCACCTCCTTCATCCCCCTCCCTGGCTATGGACCCCTATAAACTTCTGTGGGCCCCCGATTGGACCATGTCTGGACCCCCTCCCTCTATGGGTTTGCGGACCTTTCATGGACATGCTACCCATCTGACACACATCCCCCACAATGACTCTATGGCCCTTTGGATCCTCCGAACGCCAGGCAAGCCAGTGCTTTCCCGCTTATGTAACTTACGCATTCTGGTTTTACCTTGACAGTCTGTGAGTCTGTGAGGCAAGCCTGCCTTGCTCCCCTTCCCATCCACTTCCTGTCCACCTGTAGCCCGCCTTCGGCCCCTCGGCTAATCTCACGAAACCACATCTGGAGCACCTGTCTGCACTCACGGACCCATATGGCCCATATGGCCCCATGGCCCCCCAAGGACCGCCCTTGGGCAGGGTTACGCCAACATAAATCGGATGAGCAAGTCAATCCGAGCCGAACAATCGCACAACACACCAATGCATGCCTCATCAGTTGCTACAAACATATGCGTGCTCTCGTGGGCCTTATCCACGGAGACCAGAAGCGTGCAGGAGTTGCAACCTAGGGGCTCTTTGTGCTCATCACGGGTTCTCCAGACTGTTCTGGGAAAGTTGTCGCAAGCGCGCAGAAGCTCAAATGATGCCAGATTCTGGTAGATCGTCTTCTGACGAGGTTTGAATTATGGGCGGCCCTTTGGGGGGCATCTGTACCAAAAGGGCCCCTAATTTAATTAGATCCCTTCAGATCTGCTTCCTACCAACAGTGAAGGCAAGTCACAATGCCAAGGCAGCCAGCTGCTTGGAAGATTCTCTGGAAGAGCCTAAGCAGCATCCGGGCAGCTTCAACGTGATCATTCAGCAATCAAAAGCTTGCAATCAACAATGGTTTAATCGTTCGTAATTAAGGTGTAGCAACATTCGTCAGGCAGTGCTAAGTTTGGCAATGGCAAGCTGCAAGTTGAAGCAATACTTTTCCTAGATGTCCAACGGAAACTGCGCCGTCTCTCTGTTCCACGTCATGCTTCGCTGAGGGCCGATCGGGTGAACTTGAGTCCGCAACCCCCTTCTCCTCACCCAAAAGACAACTGCTGGAAAGGGCCGAGTGGACATACTGGCCTTGCAGTGACGAAGCCGAATGTCGACAACATCCTGTCAAGATGGCTTCCTAGCTTTATGATGACTTCCACAAGCACCATTCCAGCCTTGCCCAGCGTTAATGCATAAACGTACCCAAAGGGTTGCCATAGCCGCAAGAAGTTCTTTGCCATTGTAGTTGCAACCTGGCAGGCAAGATTGCTGCAGATTGCTGCTGAAAAATCGCATGCAAAAATGTCCATGGGAGTTGCAACCACTGCCAACCACTGAATCGGGCCAGCCTTACCGACTTGCGTCCACGCACGACTGCAACGGAAGTGATGTCCCTGTCTATGAATTCTATGAATACTATGAATGCAGAGACCACTATGTCGGAACATGTCGGAACTTCACGTAACATCACAGCGTTGCCGCTCCTGTATGGAATTCGCCGTCTGAAGATGCATAGAGGGACAGGCCCAAGTGAAAGCACAACTCCTTCTGGCGTACACCACAAAGCACTTGTGGATGCCGTGCCTCGGCATTGCAAATCATTGCAACACAGACAATCATGGATGGCCAACATGATCTGGATTGATCTGGGCTCCACGCATAGCATCACGAAGGGGAGCATGGAAATCTGTGGCAACCACATCCTGCAAAACTCTTCAGCTTCTTGTTTTGAAACCTCCTAGCCTGCCAGAATCGAAGAAGACGTGGGCCCTACAAGCTTAAGTGCGAAGAAGATGTGCGAAGCGCAAGTATTTGTACTTTCCGCTGGAAGCTTTACACTTACGCTGAGCAAAGGGTCAACAGCAAAATGGAACAAGATTCATCTCTGACCTCTGCATCTGCCTAAAGGTCAGTGAAAGTGATGTCGGCAAATATGCACTTCGGAACCTCGTATTGAAATTTATGCAGAGAGTAGTATACGGCAACGTTCAATGGTCCTGGTAGCAAACCAGAACAGAATTGAGGCGACAACCACCTTAGCAACCCCGTTCATGTCTTGCCATTGCCCCTTCACTTCTAATTGCCGCGAACTTGGCCCGCCACAACTCCCCGCAGGTGCGGTCCTTTCAGTCCAGCTTGGAATGTTGACATTGAGCTCTGGAACTGCGCTTGATGTCCCTTAGATCTTGCGACATCTGGCATGCTGCCGCGCCTGATGCCAGCTCTGCCAGCTCCCAACCTTACTTGAAAAGTGCTTGGCTACTCGGGAAGCTTGTGACCTGCTCTAGGATATGCTACACAGGCTTCTGGGGATCACGACGCGAACAGGCATGCTAGATCTGCTAGATCTGCCAAGGTCCCAGCCAGACTGCGCAGTCCTCGCAGGGCGGAAATGCGCTTATAACTCTTACCGGTGCCTTTTACCACTTTCCTCACGGTCTTTCTTACTCATGACTTGTTCTTCGTAGGGGACGCGAAAATCGCTCTGCTCTGGCCGCCCAACACCACTCGCTTCAGCGGTGGCCACTTACCTCCGGGTCTGGGACCCCATTCTGGCTCTTCGATTTTGGGGCCGTTCAAGGTTTGCTACAGTGGCCCGTCACTTGGAAAATTCCCCTATGCCATTAGATCCATTCGTCCAAACCGGGCTCGTTCCCGTCACGTAGCCCAAAGATGACAACACCACCTGGCCAACACATCCACTCCTTCAGGGTTGATGATTAGCCCTTAGGTTATGAGTTTGGGCTTCGGGGCTTGCCATTTTGAGGGTTTGGGTTGCAGGGTTTGCCACTCTCTACGTCGTTTCGGGTTGAGGAGTTATCACCTGCAGTTGAGTTCAGGGTCACTCCACTTCTTGTCTGGTTGAGGTTCTTTTCGCCAAATCCTTTCATGAGAATTTAGGGTTTAGCATTTGCCGTTCCCCACTTCTTTAAGGGGTCCAACCGGAACATTATTCACTCCGTAGTCCCGTCGGCGTGGGGATGCTGCTCCTTGCCACCCTCTGTACTCCTCCCCCGGTCTCCTAGCAGAAAATCCTTGCAGTGCTAACCAACAACAGTGCTGAGAGACCGAGCATCCCTGGAGTTCAACAAAAGGGGACGTGCGCACAGAGTTCCGCAGAGGATCCCTAAAGTACTGCCCCTAGACAATCCCGCATAGAATCCCGCAGAGTTTCCAGCCAGATATTCGGGCAAGGCCCTGAGGTTGCAACATGGATTGACAGTAGAAGCCTTCAAGTCTTAACAACGCCGGACTATTAAGGATACTTCGCTAATGGATTCTGTCTCGGCGTCTCGGTTGCTATTCCTGGAAACGGCACTTCAAGGATCTTCAAGGGCATCCAGAGATACTCAGAGGCACTCTCTGGGAGTGAGCTCTTCAGACTGTGTGGCGGGCAAGGAGACCCTGAGAATGACTGACTTAACACCTGAAAACCCACACCAAGGGTGGGCCAGCGTCACTAGCAGAATAAGAGGCGTGCATCGTACAGGTGGCAAAAGATTGAGAACATTGTCATCTGATGTCGCAGGTCTTGTCGAGAGATCTTGTTTTCAGCCCGATGGCCTGGAAGACGCCGGCAGGGTAGCACTGCCTGAGAGGGGGGTGGGGGGGGGGGGGGGGGGGGGGGGAAGGGGGAGAATTGTGTAAAAGCATGTACAAACCCTGATGTCGTGATGGCGTGATGCTAGGAAGACAGGGTGAGGACCAGACCTCCATGCACTGCTGCCTGGGCATCAGATTCAATCCTGGACAGGATACAAAACCTCCTATATAGCTCCGGCGGTTTGCAAAGGTACTGATGCTGGGCACAGCATGGCACAACCAGTGCTCTTTCACTCTTCCACAGGACTACTACTCATATCATTTACTGCTGTATCTATTTCATACATTTTCATACTACAGGATACTCCAGGTACCCCCAGAATCCGGGAAGTTCGAGCGGCCGTGCGGCCTGCAGACTTGTGCAAACTTGATGCAAAAAATGCAAAAAACACCAAGCCGGTGCTCTACATGCCACGCATGTTTTTGCCAAACTTGCGGCGTGGGATTTGAGTTTTCTAGGTGCTCCTGGAACAACACGACGAGTTGCACGGCATTTAAGCAGCATTTGTGCGGCATTCGTGCAGTGTTGGTGGACCGTTTGGTCTGTCTGTCTGTGTCTGACGGGTGCCCGTGGGTCGAGAGCATGCTCGCCGGCGTGCGTGCGGGTGGGCATGCGTGTGGGAGTGTGGGCGCGCATGCACGCGGGCGTGGGGTGTGCGGCCGTGCGCGTGGGCGAGCGGGCAGGTGAGCGCGCGTGTGCGCGCGTGCAATATTTGTGCGTGCTTGCGCAGGGCACAGCTGCCTAGGCACGGGCCTTTTGCTTCCTTTTCTATTTGAAACCTGGGCTGCGCTAGCTGCGAGGGGACTGCGGAGGCAGATGCACACAGCCACACAGCATTTGCAATCCGAGGCCAAAGCTGCTGCTGCAGGCATGATCACTAAGACGATCAAGAGTCGAGACGCGATACACAGGCCCTGCAAGTCCTCTGCTGATCCGGAGCAGAAGGTATCGGCGTTAGCTCCTGCAGTTATGACCGGAGCTCAGCATGAAAGACAAGAAAAAGACTTGACACCGTTCCGAGCTGGCCATGCCCAGGTCGACACCAACAGCATCAACAGCGGCTAAATCACGAACTTTTCGCGGGGCGCTGGTACATGCTGGTACGTGTAGCTGTAGATGCGACAGCTGCTATTATGCTATAATAGGGGCCATGCCATGAACCATCTGAAGCCTGTTCCGATGGCCCTTCAAACTCCAACCCTGCTTTGGACGCTTCCCCTTCTAACCTGCTCTGAAGGGTCTGAGAAGGTCTCAGAGCTTGCTTGTCTTGTCCGGGTCTCCTGAGAGGGCTCGCTGAATGCTCTCAAGGCAACTGAGATGTCGAAGAGCTTCTTGCTGTTGTTGCCAGACATCGGGCATTCGCCCAGGCGGTCCGAAGCGCCCCTGTCCCCACGCTCTCGTTCTCAAGCCATCGATCAAGCACATTCTCCAAATGCGAGCCCAGATGGTGCACGTGCATTGGTGTGCTGCCAGACAAGGTGCTCCACAAGCTTTCTCAACTTTTTCAACTCAGCTTTTTGACCTCTGCAACATGGTTAAGTTGGTGCCTTTATGTGAATATGGCTGTTTCTCTTCGTGAAGATGGGTTGCCATGTCATGTTTGAGACTCACACAGCCGTGTCAACAACGTAGTTTCCGCACACACACACAATACTGGGTGTAGCAAGATTGAGAGCAGACAGCATGATGCAAAAGTGTGCAAAGGCGGAGCAGCACCCAATGCAGCTCTGTTTCGAGCCGCAGCCGAAGCTCCTGTGGCTTTGCAGCTCTTCATGGGGGGAATGCTGTGGTGTCAGTGCCTTAAATGTGTAATGATGTGTGATGTGTCCTCTGTCTCAGACGGACTGGACGCAGTGTCCACATCCAGCGTCTCTGAGACTCTGCCCACAACGACTTGGCGCCATTGCTCGCCCTGGGCTCGGGTCGCGAGAGCAGCAGTAGCAGTTTGTGTGCCTAGGACCGGGAATCCAGCCTCCAAAGAGAGGCAGGACTCCACCTGGCACGACATCTAAACAAGAACACAATCAGTTATTAGAGGGTGTTGCTTCCTGCGCGCCCTTCGCAGCAATCAAAACCCTCCACCGTGGCACACTGTGGCCCAAGCAGAAGGTCGGAAATTGTGTCCAACACCCTGCCCGTTTTGAGCTGCCAGTGGTATGGACCTTCGGTGTGAGCAGAAAGTTGGGGAATGCACGAGACGGATCGAGACGGTTTCTTCGCGCGGAGAGCTCCTCGACACGTGCCAACCCAAACAATATGGTCAAGAGCTTGCCTCTCCACCCAATACAGAGACTCAAAACGCAAAAGTCGATTAAGGCGCCCAAAAGGCTCAATCCAAGGCACTGCTGAGATTCGGGCATTGAAAAAAAGAAAGAACCTGAAGAAGAACCGTGAACCTAAACATCCAAGACTCCAAAAGGCTGTGACCCAAGGCGCACGAGGGTCCAGGACGTGTCAAACAACGATGCGAACCCGTGAAATTGAGCGAAACTTACAATTTCCCCCGTGTTCTCGCCAGGGCGCCACCCTGCAGGGTTAGGCCACGGAAGTTGGGGCTTTGAGGGTTGGTTTGCCCTGCTCTTATAGTCAAGACACACGTAGATAAGTACCGAATCTTTGAATATTGGGCCTCCCCACACACACAGACACAGAAGGACATGTGCGTGGAAAAAAGGGATTCTTGCAGTTGCACTACCTCTGCAAATCACATTTTTTCGTTTCTACTGTTTCACATCATCTTCGATCAGGTCACCCTGGATGTTTTCCAAGCAAAGCACGATATGCCCCAAAACAACATCCGGAATGCCTGTGTGGTTTGAAGTTGTTTCTTGGAGCTCGTTTACATTTGTTATAAAGTATGTATGTCCATTTTGGTTGCGAGATCAAGGGTCGAGGTCCGGCACTTTGACGTCCATTTCCAGGAACTCGGCGCCAGTCTGCATGATAAAGCCTTTATGTCAGGCGGTTCGACTACAGTCTCGTCGTCAGCGATTAGCCATCGCTATCCACATCTGGCAATTCCTGGTCTCGGGTGGTCTTCTCTATGTGATGTCCCTTGCAAAAGCTCGCTGTTTGAGACCGGCATGACTTCAACTTGCCAAGGGAGCGTCGGAGCACACGGAAGCTTTCACGAAGTTGGATGGCCCACTGTGCCCACTGCGCTATCCTGTTCCTGGAGCTCTCTTGATCTTCACAAAGAGCTCCCCCAGCCGAAATCCCACTTCCAGTGGGGCTGACTGTAGTTATCACTCTTCGAGACGGCACAGGAGATACCTGGATCCAGTCTCAAAAGCTACCTCCCAAGCCTTCCCTCGAGGTCGAGACACCAACTCAGCCCCCACGAGTTTTCGTTTGTGCTTCTTTGTGCACTCGTACGGTTCTTATGAAGCATGACTGAGGATGACTGGCCAATGCATGTGTTGTAGGCCACAGTGTTCCTAACACCGGATCTTCATGATGACCATGAGCTGGACTGCCGTCAGGATCTGTCAAGTTCAGCCCGATACTACTGGTATGTGTTCCTACGTTCCTACAGACAAATGAAAAGCTCGTTAAAGTATAAAGGCCTGTATGAATTGTCACACAATCAGGCATTTCTAAGGCATGAGCACAAAATCGAAGCGATCCGTCGAGGCCTGCCTGCTTAGGTCCAAGTCTTGCCAGCATGAGGCTGGGCATAGGTGCATCATGGTGCATCGTAGGCAATCGTAGGTGCATGTTTGAGGATGTTTGTGTTGCACCCTGCCTCAGCAAAGCACGCAAATCATCCAGTGGAAGGTCCAGGTGCCGTCCAACCTGGCAGAGCCCTTAGAATGACGTCACTACTCTTTACTCTCACTATCTGATTATCTAACTTGGCACAACCCGGGATCGCCTTTGGACTCAGCCTCCAAATGCCTCCAACACTCCAACAATCTCGAAAAGTAGGATTTTCTGCTCAGAGTCTTCTCGCACACACAACAGCTCCAGTACGAGGGGATGAAGGCCTACCATGGTGCAACAGCCACACAGGCGACTTCACATTTCCTGTAAGCAGTAGTGCTATACCATGCTATACACATCTATACACTATATTCCCTCAGTCGAAGCCCCTTCCCCCCCCTACCTCCCTCTCCACCTTTCCAGGGCCGGTCTTTCAACAATGCTCTGCAGCCAGCAAACAATACATGCTTTGAGTACAAGGGCACACTCCAGTTCGTGCGGAATTGCTGGGCCGCTCCCACACAGCCATACTTAAACCTATTTTCCACCTGTCAATGGCTTGACTACCAGCATGGTTAGTCTGAAGAAAACCCCACACCACAGAGTGCGGGATCCTCCCCCCATCATCCCCCATCCCACCCACACCACAACCGACTATTCGAGTCAAGTCAATGCAATCACGCGGAGACGAGGCCAGCAAGTTGTCTGGATCTCCTCGAACCGGCATTCCGGCGCATTGGGACGCTAGTTCCGATTGCGCCTATATGCACGTTTGGATTTGCTTGTCAGTGAGGCCGATTTGCAAAGGCTCTCGGCATCAAGACAAACACTCTTCCTGAGTCATTTGCGCAACCTGGTGTCTTGCAATTGCATTCCGCTGTGGGACCAGCTAACCAGCTGATGAGCCCAAGTGAGACAGCTCAGACATGCCTACACTTGCTTTTAATTGGTCTGGCGATGCTGCTTCAGCTGTCACATGCTACAAGGCCACGTGATTCAACACCGCAGTGCTGGAATGGTAGAGCTTGGCGTCGTCTAGCGCTTGCAGGCTGACCTCCGATAACATTGCCCCACAGTCCATTGGCCTCTCGCATTTGCGAGAGTGTCTTATCTCTCGTCCAGGCATGCTGCGTGAAACGAGACAGGGTGAAATGCAATCATCGCCTGCGGTAATACTTGAAGTGGCATCAGGGATCATACTTGAAGTACTCGACCCGCTCTCCTCTGTCGGCTTCTTTCTTGGCCTTACTGCAAACGGCCAAACATGCGCTAGCCCAAAATCACATATATATATATATACAGTGCAGCGTGTTCGGCGGCGCAAACATCGCCTATCAGCACCGTGAGGTCTCAGCCAGAGCCATTCTCTTGTTCTCTTCAACTAGGCGCATCCTCCGTTCCTGAACAAAATCTCATGTAGCTCTACCGCGTCGAAAGTTGGCGCCAATCTGATCCATACCCCTTTGGCCCTACAACAGTTGTGGCTCGTTCTTGTTGAAACTTGCATTCACGGTCCTGCTGCTGCCGGACACGCTCTTCCTCAAGCGCACCCAACACTGCAACCTAAGCCCCAGGCAGCTTCCAGGTGTGGGGAAGGTGTGGGGGTCTGACATGGTCTGACGCTACATGACCATGACGTTACTGACGTCGCTTCAGAAATCAAGCAACGTTGCAGTGAATCTTCGAGGCATCTTCAGCCTGACAGCAACAACAGCAGTATGCATGTGGATGGGCAACTGGCGGGCTGATAATGGATTCTGTCGTAATATTGTCGGTGAAGTAGTGCTGCATGGTGCTGCGGCGCAATGTGGCTATACTATATAAAAGGCTCAGACCTTCTCAAGCATCTCCTGCTTCTTCTTCGCTCGCTTGTCCATTAGCTGTCGGGCGTTTGAGTTGTAAATCTCCTGACCACGAAAACAATCACAAAGACCTACTCATCTTACTCTCGTGATGTGTATTTTCACTGATCTGACACAGTGCTGCAGCGGCGGGCTGGCCTGCTCCTCTTCCAGCGTCAATCGCTTGTACTCTGCCTTCATGGGCTTTCCCGTTAAGCCAATCTTGGCATCGTGCATCTCTCCGATCCATTCGGAGTTCATCACCTCTGAAACTTCCAAGCCTTCTGAGCTAGAAGTCATGCAGAGGGAGTCGATCGTGAGATCAAGGAAGCCAGAAGCAGTAAACTTGCAAGTGTCTATGAATGTCTCAACATACCCCAGACCCAGCCCAAACCCCGTACCCCTTAATTTCTGTAACAGTGAGTAGTAACATAGTATGCCCAAAAGTGCCAAAGATGAGCAACGTAAGGTCTGAGCCGTGTCGATGTGTTTTTGCTTCAAGGCATTATCTTCCAGCTTCTTGGCCTGCGACTGCTGTGGACAAGGCAGTACGCAGGCGATCGGCGTAGGTGCCTCTTTCAGCTCCCGAGCGACTTGAGCCAATCGGAGGTTCCTGCTGTCATTCGGTCAGCACGGCGACATACTCTGAACATCTCCGAACAGTACTGCAATATGCTGCAATCAAGCTGCTCTTCTGCTTCTTCACATTTCGCATCCCGCTGCTCCTGAGTGCATCATGTCACGTGAGGAATTCTCTGCTTTGGGGTTGCGACTCCTTGAGCCACCGTGTCCCTCAAAGACATTGAAGCTGCATATGCTCATTCTGGGACCATGCTCTCTTGACGTCAGACTCCTGAATCTCATTATCTTCACAAACAGCGCGAACTTGCGAAGCCAACATGGCCTCAGAAGGCTGGGGTATGGATGAATGCTGATTGGTGGCAGCCAAATCGCACTCAACTTGGCACCTTCCAACTTTGCACTGACACTGGATGTGATGACTGGATACTTGTCCGAGCCGTGAACGCGTTCATCGTGGAGTCTGTCAAAAGCCTTCTCTTGTGCTTGCCGATCTAGCTTCTCCTGTACCTGAAACCTGGGACAGTGATGAAGGCTTTGAAGGCTGTGACCATGAGGATGCTTCCTGAGGCCGGTGCTCCAGCCACGCCGCCTGATCCTCCTGACCTGTGCTTTGTAACAATTTGTTTAACGGTGTAACGGCGACCAGCAGAGTCAGTAGAGTGGAAAAAGATGAGACTAGGCAGATACCAAAACCAAGTAAAGGCTACGTACAGCCTCGCTGGTTCTCAGGTTCCTACTCTGACGCTTCGCTTCTGCCGAAGCCTTTCCTTGGAAAGAGCAGCACATAGCAGCACGCGCTTTTGCACGTTTCATTATGCTTCTGCTTGCCAAAGCCTTCAATGCCTTGCGGAGCTTAGTGCAGAGCCATGGCTTGGGAACCTGAGCGTGTCTCGCGTGTCTCATGTCTGCATTCAAACGCTGGAGTTGCTGTAGTTGCACTCTGGCAGCAGCGTTTGCCCGGCGTTTGATTGAGAAACTTTTGAGATGGATGTCAGAACATGTACTGCTCCACTGGACTCAGATCGGGAGAAGTGGGCTTCATGGCAGAATATGGTGTCTTAATTCAGATGCCCAGGTCGGATACATTCAGGATATTCAGGGGCCTTGGACAGACGCACTCCGAAACAACCTCGGAGCACCGAGGGTACATGAAGGTACCCTAAACTCTCTCGTGCTGACACCTTCACCCGGCTTGCATGTACTGAACTCTCGGCTTGCATTTTTGTTCATTCTGATGGTGGCAGGTGGACGGTCTGACCTGTCCAGGGTCTCGATTTTTCATGTTTCCAGGAAAGTCGGGAATCAAAACGGGAACCTGTACACGAACCGTATGGGCACAAACCCCAAGAACGAATCGGATCGTATGAAGGAATCGAAACATTGAATTGTAAACGCCAGGCAAAGCAGTTTAGCCTCAAGGCCTTAAATGCCAAGCGAGACGTAAACGAGAACGACACAAGCCCCTGACGAGGCGGGGCGAATGCAGGGTTTGGCCTAGAGTTGCAGACGTTTAGGAAGTTGAGGACAGAAATGGAGCAGAACAACAGCCGGAGCGGGCTCAGGAATCTGACAAGGCGGGGCGCGAACCCATCGTTGGGGGGAAAAGGCTGCCCTTGGTTTGCTCGCCACGAAGACAGGCGCCTCAAGCCTCTGAACACCCAGGTCCCCTTTGCCTCCGTGCTTAGAAACTACACACAACAAGGAGTCCGCGTACTTCCCCGCATTCGTCCTGTTGCTCCCTTGGTAACACCGTGAAGACTTCGTGGCAAGCGAGACCAGCAGTGAGAAACGGACCAAATTCCGACCAGCACGTCCGGGCAAATTTTGGGGTCCTCCCCACGGCTCTGAAATGCTCTGAGCACCCAGGTCCCCTTGCCTGCGTGCTTAGGGGCTACACTGCTACACGCCAAGCATACGGTGGAGTCCGCGTTTTGAGGATCTTGGTTCCAAAATTGCTGAAATTGTACTCCTCCGTGTTCCCCCCTTTTACTCCAATTGTAAGACACATGGAGACTTCGTTGCAAGAGAGACCCAAGCCGCGAGAAACGGACAATATCTGATTTCATTTCATACAAATGCTTGCTCGTCCGCGTCCGATCAAATTTGGGGGATGCGGGGAGTCCGCGTTTATCATAGCACTTTTTTCCTGAGGCCCGCTTTCCCGGGGCCATCTCGCCCGAACTGTTCTAAACAGAACTGCACGGAGATACGCAGGATAACTTTTCCCGGACCATTCAATCGTGCCAAGCGATGGTGCTGGGCAAGTGGCCTGACGCTACCTTGCTTTAAACGAAGAGGAGGATTCACCTTTGCATACGTACTGGTCAGGAACTTCATCCAAGCCTGGGCATTAATGAGGGAACTGGCGTTATATTCGTTATGTCACAACGCAGGGAAGCACAGCAGTTGGGAGTGGAGATCAGCGGCTGAGAAACCGAGTGGCCAAGTGGACAGCTGAATCTGATACTGCTGGTCTTGAGGTGTGCACTTCAGCATGGAACTGGGTCCAAAGGAGGGATCGTCTGGATCAGGCCTTAGGCAAAAAAATCAGAGCAAGGCAAATACTGCGCAAGCACATGCTGAAAGTTGAAGTTCGAGTTGATGGCAAGGTCTCTCTCTTCAGCGCATCCGGATCACTCAGTGCGTATTCTCGACGCTGCTCCTGTGCCAGCCATTCAACTGCCTGTTGACATACCATATCATACCATGATGGCCCATGCAACTCCGCTAAGATTCTATCATCTGCCATCCTTGCGCAAGTTGGCCAGGGAGTAATCTACAACAGCCATTTGTCTGTCTCGGGCACGAAGCGCCTCAAGGTCACAGGCACCGTCACTAATTGACGGGTGCCTGCAGCATGTATCATGCAGTCTACACTTACCGACACACGACACATGTTGCCGGAAAGTAGACACCACATGCTCCTCATGCAGGGAGGTCGTTGAGCTCAAGACGAAGCACCGTCGTCAGCATGGGTGTGCATGCGTGCTTGCGTGCGTGCGTGTGTGCGTGCGTGCATGCGCGTGTGCGCGCCTGCGCGTGCGCACGCGCGTGGGTGCGCGCAAGTTGGCGCGGGTTCGCGCCTGTGCGTGCCTTCGCGTGCGTGTGCGTGCGCGTGCGCGTGCGTGTGCGGTCCGTGTCTGTGTCTGTGTCGGTGTCGGTGTCTGTGTCTATGTCTGTGTCTGGGTGCGTGTGCGCGCGTGCGCGCGCGTGTTCGTGTGTGCCTGTGTGCGTTTGCATGTGGGCACGCAACAGTGGGAGATTGGCATGCTGTGCTGCAATTGCACGTCGACGGTCAAAGCCATGAGCACTCGGTTGCCTTCATGCCCTCCACAGTTTGTAGGATTTGATCCTCCGTGGATGTTTTATGCGCCCTCAGCTTGAACACGAGACAAATCATGACGAAAGGTGCTCCTGCAGCACAGCACTCTGTGCGTAGAAAGCATCTTCCGCCTCTTCGGCCTTTGTCACGGCATGTCACGGCAGATATTTGATTTACTCGTTGCTAGGCGGTCACGCTGCCTAAACTCGAGTACTCCCCTTGAGTCTTGAAGGAATGCCATGGAATGCCTATAATTGCCTGTCACATGTTACCACATTGCATCCTCACTGGGCTGCGGGCTTCTGCCACCTGTCTCTTGCCTTCAAGCTGCTCTGCCAGCACCTCGACGCTGGTACAGAGATCCAGAGAGCACCCAACATGAGCAGACTTGAAAGAACACTCCTTTGCCTGGTGAGGTATCCCTCCGACCCTTTGGCGTGGATCAAGCCTGCCATCGGCGAAATATGCTATTGACAAGAACCTTTTTTTAAACCTAGTCGTGGAGCACCTAGAGGACCTAGAGACCTGGAGCTTAATCCGTCATTCGCCGCTGGGCAACGTGGCGGGGCTACAGCCGCATCCGCCGTGCCATTTCATCACGGCGCTTCTTCAGGATTTTTGAAGCAAGCGGCTGATCGTGACCTTATGAATGCAAACAAACTCATGAACCCGAGATCTGGCTCTCCCCACGTCATTGTCAAGATTTGTCAAGTGTGAGGGAGATTCAGATAGATATGTCTGTAGGAGTGGAACTCGAAGCTGCAAACGGATGATGCAAAATTCCCAGGCAAAAGGCGGTGAGATTCTTCTCAATGCACAGTACAAGCCAAGAGCACATCACCGAGGATAACGAAGTATACTCCACCGAATCCCCTTTCACGTCGAATAAGAAACTGAGGCTGCGGACCCAAATGTCCAAGATCACAGTCCTCAATGTTTTTTTTCAACTCATGCTCCGCTCAAGAGTGGAGGTCATAGCGCTCGACACCAGCTGGTAAGGTGCCACTTAGGTCTGAACGATAGGCACCTCTGTTTCAACCTGGGCGGGTCGACGTTTATTTCCAATTGGTGGTTTCATATCACTGTCTTGGGTTGCTGAGAGCATGACTGTCACTCGACAAGATTTTGCCAAATGCATTTCTGCCTGTCCCAGCTTGCCCTCATCGTTGGTGACTGCTCTTTTGGCTGCTACGTGCTTGCCTCCGCAGCCATGGCTTTGGCTGAAGAGCAGAGATAACGATGCACCCAACTCCCTTTCAGCCCGTGGCATGTCAACAACCCGACACAAAGTCTTCAAGCACCAGGTAATGGGCACTGGTCATTCTTCGCTTCTTTTAGCCCTGGCCAGCCACTTAGCGTATTCTCCCAAAGAGGACCCTCTGATGTACTCGGGAAGAGTCGTGCCCTTGCATGTTATCCAATTAATCCCCTCCTCCTCATGGCACGGAGAAGGGCTTCCTTTGCTCGAACATCTCTTGGGGAAGGGGGGGGGGGCCAACAAAACACGAGTTGAAGCCTGAAATCCAAAACCCGTGTTCTTTTGTTCTTTCTCTAGGCCTGAGGCCCACCAACCTACCGGCCGTGCATGGCCCTATCTTTTGCTTTTGCTGTATATCCATGTGTTGCTTTTTCATGAAACAGGTGGCTATTGGGTGATCGTCTGTGCTAAGCGAAACATACGGAATGATTTTGAAATGCATCTGTACTTCGCGCCACTAAGCCCCAGCCCTTTGAGAAATGGTAGGTAGCAAAAACCATCTGATATTTGAGGTGTAACAACGGACTGTCAGCTCCCTCTCTGTCATCTCTGTCTTGTCTTCAAAAATGTCATGCGCCTCGAAGGAACATAGCGATCGCGTGCTAGAATGTACTTATCAATCCGAGCAAACAAAGAGCAAGAACATCGACACCTTGATTGGTTAAAATACTGTACAAACTGCACGAAGAGAAACTGTTCGATGCCTGGGTTGTTATCTTTCCAATGTGAAAATTAAAAAAAACAAAACTCATGAATGAGACTGCGGTTCCTGCAGTTTCTGGGTCTGCCCGGCAGGTATTGCTGAAGGGCTCGCGCAGCGAGGCGCATTCAGAATCACAAGGCATGTTGCTTTTTCGTCGCTCTCTCTGCCAATGCTGGCAGGGCCTTGTTGGTCCATTGCTCAGACCGCTGGTGAAACTATTCGTTGTGCGCCTGCAGCAAGTTTGTAGCTTCGAACCGACCAAAATGAAAATAAACCTGAAAAAGAGCCTCATTCATATTACATCAATAGTCCCTTGATGGTCCCTTGTGCGGATTCTTCTGCGGGCAGTCACATGTCGGATGTTCTGTGCTGGTTATTTGGGACTGAATGGGATGGACTTGTAAGCTAACCCGTTAGAAGCTGCTTTGCCGTGATCTGCCTTATGCGACCAGAGATGTACAAGAGCCATATTTAACAAACAGCCATGCCTGCACGGGGAGCATGCCATCGCTCGCTTCGTCGCTGCCATCACTGTCTTCGTGCGGCACGGCGTTTGAATCCAACGCCTGCGCAACGCCATGTCCAGATTGTCCACTGGCTCACAATGCAGTTGTACATCGTCGTGATTCGTCTTGCCAAGTGCATCACGGAGCCCTACGACCTCTTCCAACACCATGGCCATGAAGCGCACCTTCATGTCGCTGAAATCGCTCAAACGCAGCTTTCTCCTCGTATTCACAGGTTTCAGAACTTGATATTGCAGGTATGGCTTCCAGCTTGTGAAGTGAATGGATTAAGTAGTTAGCAGATGTGAGACTCGCGCGCCACGGCGCACCGATCCATTTCCCAGTGCCACTGGTGCCCCCGCGAATTTCAATCAAACAACAAGTATAGAACGAGCGCGCACGCACACGCACACGCACACGCACACGCGCACGCACACATGCACGCGCACGCGCCCGCGCACTCGCACGCGCACGCGCACGCACCCGCACGCGCACCCGCACCCGCGACCGCGCCCGCACCCGCACACACTCACACTCACACACACTCACCCACTCACCCACTCACCCACTCACCCACTCACCCACTCACCCACTCACCCACTCACCCACTCACCCACTCACCCACTCACCCACTCACCCACTCACCCACTCACCCACCCCACCACCCACGCACCCACGCATGCACGCACGCACGCACGCACCCACCCACCCACCCACCCACCCACTCACGCACCCACGCATACACGCACGCACGCACCCACCCACCCACCACCACCCACCCACCCACTCACCCACACACCCACTCACCCACTCACCCACACACACCCACTCACCCACACACCCACACACCCACACACACACACACACACAGACACAGACACACAAACACACACAGACACACAGACAAGCAGACGCACAGACACACAGACACACAGCGTGGCCATGTGTACATCGCAGGGTGCACTTTGAGCGCGCTCAGCTTACGTCTTGGTAGCTCTGCGCAAGATTGCTGAGACGATTCGGAGAAACAAAACAACAAACAAAGATGTAACAATCCTGGCGCCCACATAGAAGGAGCTTTGGAAAACTCAGGACAATGATGTATGAAGAAGGCGCAAGCCTCTCCAAGAACACAAATGTCCTGCTTCAATCGCTGCCTATTACGATGAGCCATCGAAAGGGCTTCACAGGCTAGTCAGGCTGCAGTGAACTGAGCAACCGCAATGGTGGTCGAAAGGTTGCGAATGGTCAGACGACTCGCAATCTTATCATCTAGACCAAACTTAGCTTTGGGAGTTCCGCTCTCAAAGATCTTCTGCGCTGCCGAAACATGCTTCTTCAAATTGGCAAACTGACCTTTGAAATCTGGCTTGGACTTGAGAGTTCGAAGCCATTCTTCAACTTGCTCGTCCTTTGGACCAACAGGTCGGGAATCCAAAACGCCAGCCGGAGGAAACTGAGGCAACGTCTGGGCAAGAGCGGCTTTGCCCGAGTTCTTGTTTGGCTTTAGCCTTCGGCCTCGCCCGAATTGGCGCATTCTCAGGCTCGTCTTCAGCAGATCCCTTAGTCGGAGTAAGTGAAAGGCCCGCTTGGGCAAGCTTTGCTTTAGCCCTGGCCAACTCTTCAATGGCGGTGGAGTCAGCAATGGATTCAATGGATTCGCGCATTTTGCCCATGAACTTGGAAGCATCCTTGTGCTTGTCAGGTGGGCTGTTGGTATGAAAAGATCTCAATATCTACACACCTCTTCAAAAGTTGGGTAAGAAAACTGCTTCGGACGTGGACCTTGTCCAAACAATTCCTTGGTATCGGCCTTCACTAAGAAGACGCAAGGAGAACTCAGAAAGTCCACGATGACTGAGTTCCCGTGCTCGGGTTGAAAACATTCTCAGGCACAGCCGGCTTGGTAGTGGCTGCCCAAGGTTGATCTTGCTCTTGCCAAGGCGATTGCGAACGCCAACGCCAAAGACGACGAAGCCTCCCACTCTGACTGTTTCCACCATGAGCTGGACATGATGGTGAACCTGACTGGCCTCAAAAAGGCCTATGGGGAGGATAAATTGGATATAACTGGATAAATCACAGCAAGGACGGAGTTCCGAACCTTTCGAATCTCAAGCCTGACGGGCGCGTGATCAACGCAGCATTCCTGTCGGGTTAGACTGTTTCAGAGTCCCAAGCACAAATACTGAGCCTGAACCAAGCAGTTTCAGATTGGAGGTCACAAGGCCTTTTTGAACCGATCAGGTTTCAACACAGTAGGAAACCCTACCGTAGATGGCACGCTGAACGAGAAACCGTCTAGAGCACACTCATGCAATCCTCCCTCTGCTCACTCGATCTTTCAGAGGTGAAGACTGCAAGGCAGAGCCTGCATGAACCCCACACTCTAGATAAAGTTGCGAAACAATGATGCTGCACAGCTTCCTGAATTGCGACGGGTAGGTCGGGTAGGTGCACTGGGCCTGACGCCCCTGCACATACAAACTGAGAAGGTGAGAAGCGCAACGGAGGCAGCTGCATTCTAACTTAGTTGCGACCTTGGTAACTGCTCACGATCGCACACGCACGCACGCACGCGCACCCGCACGCACACACGAGCGCTCAAGCACGTGCGAGCACACACGTGCACACGTGCAGACACACACACAGAGACAGAGCTGCTGTCAATCTTAGGACAATTGTCTCAGGATTCTCAGGGCAGGTCGGGTGAGTCGAACTGCGGCCCCATCGCTCCTTGCAGAAGTGTCCAAGAGCTGAATGCTCTGGCAGGCATGTTGAGGTGCTGGTCCAAGTTGCGATACGCTCGTCAGAATAATCAAACCTTCCAGCCGGAACTACGGACACTTCAGATTGTCCCAAATTGTCAAGGACTGCGCATGGATGCCATGTTCTGCGCTTGCTTCACACCTTTCTGCACATGATGCCTCAGCACCATCGAATTCACATGCGAAGAAACCGAGTGTCGGACACAGACCAGCTGCCCTGACTGACGGTGGGAGGCGAATTGTCAGAGCTGACTTCCAAGTCGAACTCCTCACAGACTGAAGCAACATGAGATGCAACACCTCCACCATCTTTCACCCTCAATGAGAGCGCACGCATGCAGGCCATGCTGCAGGTTAGCCTCGCGCATCATGCGCTGTCTTGGCGCGTCGCTCAGCACATACCTGAGGGCCGACGTGGCCAAAAGAGTTTTTTGACGGAGGTTCTCCACATTTCTATTGCATTAACTACAGCATTCCTGTAGCATTTCTGAGTTGAGGAGGGAGCCGCGCAATCTGGAAAGCAGCTCCAGGCTTGGCAATCCGCCGGGCCTGCAAGCGCGTTGCTCGTTATGCTCAGATGTGCTCAGACGTGTTCATGGTATACTCTGCTATTGATTGCTATTCGAACTTGAGAGACTTTCAGAGACATGTCGAGGCCCAAGCATTCTGCTGATACCAGCTCAGTGAGAACGTGCTCTCTGCCGGTGCAGAAAGGACGCGATCCAACCTGGGCGAGCAGCGTAAACGAAGCGATAACATGGAATTCCCGGAACTTAGCCCATCAAAACACCACATAGAGAACAAGGTTGCAAGCTCCATCATGTTCCATCTGCTTCGATTCCAATCCCATCCCCACTCTTCGTGCTTCTAGTTTGAGCGGGTAAGGCTCGGGTTGCCGCACAGTGGGATGAAAGATAATGAAAGCATAGTGCGGCTGTGCCATCGAACAGCCCGATGCACATATCTGCTACTGGTATCTCACACCAAGGTTGATTAAAAGGCCGCTTTGGCTTTAGCAAACCCTTCAAATCATTGCCTGAGTTCGCCGGCTCGCCTGGAGGCCTAGAAGTGGCCGGTGCCCACAACACATTGCAGCGAGCAAGCTTCATAAACCTGAAATACAGGCTATTCTTGCTTTTGTTGTTTTCGCGTTGTGTGTAGCTATGTTCCAGGTTTCGCATACTGATGCTCTGGCCTGTCCGGTCCTTGGTCAACATTACGCTCTGGTGTAGGGTCTGCATGCGGCAGTAGCCAAGAAAAGCCAACCTTTGTTCGCTATTGGAAACCTATGCTACCTCGGTAGTTTCGAAAGAAAAATTCTCTTACCTTAATGTTTTACTTGGAAACATTACTTTCCACCAGATTTTTCACAGGACAACCATTTTCCTCTCCTCTATATATGCACCCTGCATCTCAATCACGTTAGCATACGAGTAGGAATCTCTATTTCCGTGAGTTTAAGACACGCCCATTCTCGCAAGCAATGGCTCTTGCTGGCACTATGTTCACGAAAAAAATCGGAGAAGTGTTTGGGAGGGTCACAGCCCCCCCGTTTTGTAAACGCAATGCTCGCATGACGGACTGGGAACGGATTCATATGCCTCTTTGAAGCAACTCCTCTTGATGGCGTGATGCACTTCCGCAAAGCAAGCTCGCGCGGCCTGAAAAATCCAGGTCTGGATTTGTTCGACGCAATGCCTTCGATGGCACGGCGTGCTTTGAAGCAAACTTGCACGAGTAAAAAAGGGGCCCCCCGCCCACTTCGCAAACCGTCATGCCTGCATGACGGGTTTGGAAAACATGTTTCTGAAGCAATTCCTCTTGCTGGCCCAAACCCTAAACCCTTGACTTTTTTGAACGGTTGAATGGATGACTTATTGCATGTTGATGTTTGTTGTTACGTGTTGCGAGTTTTATAGGCTTTGCCGAGCTTGTGTGCTGCTGTTTGGGCGCCTACAGTTGTTCCATCAGGCATTTTGGTTGAGACAAACAAAAAGTCACGGGGCTTAAGGGAAGCTAGGGTGCCAACAGAGAACATTCAACAAACATGCGAAAATCAAAGCAAACGCACACGGCGAAAAGCAACAAGTCAAAGCTTAAGAAAGTGCAAAGCCCGCAGACTGACAAAAGCAAAAAAACAAAAAAACAGGAAGCAAAAGGAAGATAAGCAAACGCCGAAGACCAACAGCAAAAGCAAAGAGATGGCACACTTGAAGAAACATCACAAGAGCCAAAACAAAAACTCCTCAAATGGGATTCCCTCAAAATCTGGCAGGTCGCGAGTCGCGCTCTTGGGCTCTTGCTGAGCCAGTCGCAGATCGATGATGCCAATCGCTTGCTCGACGAGAGTTCCGTTTTTTGCCAGTCGCAGCCCAAAAGAGAGAAGAGGAAGGAAACAGGTAAAAAGCAAGAGAAAGGAAGAGAACGGAAGAGAACGAAAGAGTGTGTGCCCGGATGTGCCCGGTTTGCCAGGAAGGCAAAATTGAGTTCCCGGTCCACATTGCCCGTGTCACGCGCCATTGAGAGTCTACCCCCACGCTCGTTTGCGTGATTTCCCGGCACCAAGCTGCACAGCACTCAAATTGGTTGAGTTTCTAAGGGTTTCTCTCCTCTCAGATACGGCTTGAGCTGTGGTGGATGCAACACCCAAGGCCACTCGCTCGCTTACAGCGACGTTCCATCTGGTGTGACAAACTGGACAGAGTCCACGGTGTTCAGGTCATCCAATCTAAGACTGCTCATCCGGATGAGTGGGAGAAAGCTGACAGACTATCTTGGAACAACTGCCAGTCCACTGTGGTTAATGCAAGCATGTTCCGTCGCATCTCGTGCTTCATGCTTGTGAACCCCGGTGGGAAGAGCCGGGCGAATGCTTCAGAACCGCTCAGTGGCCTTTTGCTCAGTTACACGATGTTGCCTAGCGTCGCTGGTCTGGCAACATGTGCAAGATCGTTGTAGACTGAAATACCCTGCTACTACTCACTTCGTGGGCACAATAAAAAGCATACCGCATACCCGACCAACTGCAGGAATCGCTTGGGGTCCCTTCAGCAACATACTGTGCTGACAGCTTGGATGCTGAAGACAATTAATCATGACATGGTCTTCTGCAACGAGTACAGAAGAGTTGCCTCGAACGTAGTCTTCCAAACTGAAACTTGCAACGCTGACGTCATTACAGAGTACTTCCTGACAGGCTAGCAATCACGTCCATATTGCTCACCTAACACAGGCCCAAACCCTGTCGATTGCCAACACTGACTTTGCTTGATTCTCCCGGCACGAACTTTATTCCCACTTCTGGCTGAGGAGCCTGACAATATCAACCGGCATCAAAAGAGCATGATGTCGTGCCGCCTTCAAAGCGAGCCTTGCCCAGTTTCAAGCGCAGGTTTGTTCAGGATTGCATCGTAGGTGCAACTTTTTTGCCAACCCGACTTAAGCGGGTCGAATCCCCTACTTTCCTGTCCATCTTGCTCTTTATCTGATCCTTTGGCTGTATTCCTTGACCGGCGAGAGCAGTCCAGAGCCAAGACCGTTCCAGGAGATAGGAACACGAAAAGCACTTTGAGAGCACTTTGAGAGCACTTTGAGAGCACTTTGAGAGCACTACGAAGCCAAGAGAACTCCGGGACTCGAGTATATCAAGAGCTCAAGACACTCCAGGACCACTCCAAGAGCGATTCGTCAAGAGCAACCGAAGACAGTCAAAACTTCTATTCACCAGAGGAACAACCCAGAAGGAGGCAAGAGCACCTCTTCTCGCGACAATGAAGCCGCTAAAGCAACGGCGCTTCTGCACTTGACGAGGAGACAGCCAAAGAAAGTACGCGCAAAATCCGTTACCCTTTGCTCTTGACGCTAGAGCCCCATAGCGTTGGCTTGGTGATGGGTTCAAGAACAAACTTTGCTTGGCGAATCCCACAACAACTTTCCAAGCTCAAACGCTCCCGGGATGGTCGACAAGATCCTGAAATACTATGAGACCGAGTAGGCGACCTGAAGGACAGGTCGCGGTAGTCCCACATCCATATGCCTGCCATCATTCAAGCTGCAGAACATTGCAGTACCTCGCTGTGTCAATTCCCGCACTCCACATTACCCCAGGCCACAAAAGGGCTTGGGCAATTCTGGAACTTCCTGAACAACATTTTCTGTGGTCAAGTATTGAACCACTCGGAGAGCCCAGGCCAAGACACCTTCCCAAGATCGCGAGACTATGCGAGGCCCATTTGTCCGCAGGCTCGGACATCAACCGCATTCTTCAACAAACCACTGGGTCATTGTCACCTGCGTTGCACCTCTTCACACGCCTTAACTGTTCTTAGCTCTTGTCTGCTCAAATGCGGAGGCTGGACTCTCACTGCACATCCTCGATGCGCCAGAACCTGGCCTCTACGGCTGGTGTATGGCTGGTGTGCGTGCATGGATGCGTGGGTTGCATCGTGCGTCTCAGTGTCAGTCAGTCAGTGAGTCGGTGTGGGTGTGTCAGTGTGCGGGCGCAGGGCGCATCGCCTTTCTTTTGTCAGCGTCCGCGCACTGGAGTAGCGGAGTGCGAACATGGGCCCCAAGGGGACGGTAATGGAAAGCACTTTTCCGTTTTTTTGGGTGGAGTGTTTTTTTAGGGGTTGGGAGATGGGAGGGGAACCCGATCCGGTTGATGCAGAGTCAAGAGGAAGACGCAGAAACTTTCCCAAGTCAAAGGCTTGTCGCCCGACTGTCTAACTAGAGTAGTTTCCAGATTCTGTGGATGATCGAGCTGCCCGTGTCGCAGAGCTGTTGCAGCGTGGGGAGCCAATTCTCATCCCCCCATTTCGGACCAGCTGACAGCCCCTCGGGTGCCTGCTCCTTCTTCCAGCAGCATCGATGCATTTCGCTCTTCTTGCCCGGGGTACGGATCAACAACTACCTCGCAGGCCAATGCGATCCAATGCGGGCGAGCTGAGCAGCCTCATCAGCATACGGTGCCCGAGGACCTGGCCATCATCAAGCCACAGGACAGGGCCTCGGAGGTAATGAGCCCGCCAGGCCTCAGGGTGAAACACAAGATGTACAAATACGAAAGAGATGTGTCATGACAGCCATGACTGCAAGTTCTTGAGAATGGACTGAATAGTCCAGCTGCAGCGCTTAAACCGGGCAAGAAACTTCGAGATGACCACATCAGCAACGGCCAGGAGCTCGTGGATGCAACTGGAGCAGGCCAGACGCTGCGAGAAATCCGCAACCCCAATGCCGCCCAACGTCCTAACGCGACAAGCTCAATGCCGTCGTAAACGAAGTGCTGAGGTTGCCGGCGCAGTGAAGCCGAGAAGAGCTACTCGATGCCTGAGCACTCGAATGGCATGCGCACGGCAATGTCCTGTACCAAGCCCGAGTTTCTGACCGATCGGGCACTGGCACTTTCTCCAGCCTGGAAAGCTGCGCAGCACAGGACTTCCTCTTTTCAATTTGTAGGGTGTTGCTAGGGCCGTGAGGGTTTGTATCCATTTTGTGGAACAACGTGTACCGGGATGCTCACTCTGCCCTGGAATCAGCTTGGCGACCGCAAACAACCACCAGAATACAAGGCGTCTCCTCTGTTGCCACAAGCGATGGGCGGAAAAAAACTAAAAGCACTGCACATGCGGCCGTCTGCCCTCGCTTCAAAGGTAGTACACGCACATGTCAAGTTTAGTCCAGCTGGATCAAGTTCTTGAAAATGTGAAGAACGCTCCTGTCGGTGGCGCCATGATGTAGCACTCTTTTCTCGTGAAGGACTTCTTGCAGCAAGAAATCTAGGAGCAGAAACTGAGGTCACAGCCTGCCAGTTGACATTTGAACAATCACAGGCATGTCGGAGATGGGTAAGAAAGCCTCGTGAAGAGGAGCATCCTGCGCGTTTTGTGGTGCAGCAAAAAGGCCAGCCATCAGTCCAACCACCTACCTCGCTCTTGCAACATGGGTCTTCCTTGCATTTGTGTAGCTCCACTCCTTATACCTGAATCTTGCCATTATTCTTGGTAACAAGACATCTATCTTCGTTCAGCCGGACCTGCTTCACAATCGTGCCAGAGCTACAGAGAATCACACGTGCAAAACAAGCCTTCACTCTGGCACAGTGCAAAAAGTTCAGTCCATTTGGTTGAGGAACCGTTGTCTGCGTCCATCTCTAGGCAGGTGGCGGATGGAGTTCAGCGTATCCTTGAGCGAGACAAAAACAGAAAAACACGGAGAATGTCCAAGGAGATCTACGAAGTTCAGACATCGTGATGAGGAAACACCGAGAAGGAGGTGTGGAGTATTGTGATTTTGGTGGAGTCCTTGAACTTGAGGGGCCCCGGACCGAGCACACAAGAGGAGGCAACGGTTGAAATGTCGTTTTCACTCGCGCATAACGTTTGGCCTTGTAACGCACTCCACGAGGGGGAGGGGGCGGGTGGGCAGATCGTCTCGGGATGTTCGGGAACAGCAAAGTCAGTTTGTCTTCCAAAAGTAGGACCACTGGAGGGGTAGGGGGAGTTGGGGGGTGCCGGCCGGCCACCCCCTTTTTCTCAAACCTTTCCGAGGATGAAGTTCAGCATTTAACGGTCAACATGCACTTGGCCATGTTGCGTCTCGTCAAAGCTTTCGCCAAAGCAACTTTCCTTTCGCACGCCTGCTCGCAGATCTTCCGCCGTGTCCTGCGAATGTAGATTGCATTCCTTGCCAGGACCTGAAAATCATCTTAGCAGTCTAAGCAGATACATGTGCACAGGAGCATGTGCCCAATCTCCGTGCAGCGGCATTTCCGTTCAATACAAGCTAGAGACATTATAATCCCTTCCCCAGTATTAAATGCCCCCCCCCGCCCGGTATGGAAATCTGGATCCGGGGCCAGAATTTCTTTTACTAGGCGGTTCGGGTTTGAGAAATGTAGCTCGAAAGCCTGCATGTGGCAGCGTTTTTTAACATTGAATTTCAGTTGAATTTTGATGAGTTTTGGCAAGACAATGTTAGACATTTAGGTCTTGCAAGCCGCTCAAATCCGTTATTGATTGTGACCCCCCCGCTTCCGAGGGGGGGTCCTGCCAATAATTTCTTATATTCGGGAGGGGATTAATAATCGTATGCAGGGACGAAGTATTCGAGAGCTGCTTGCTTCGCGCTTGCTGTCTGGGAGGGCGGACTGATCCGGGATTCGACTGCTAAGAGTAGGCGCATTCCCTTTGCTGCAGTTGGCGAAGAATGCTGATTGCCCTCTTGATGTACTGCTCAACTGCCACCATCCGAGGAAGAGGCATAAAACTGCGGCATGATCCTGGCAATTTACGGATGGTTGTGGCTTTGCCTCCGCTACGAAGACGCTACTTCTGTGCCAATCTCTGCAATGCACCTGCTGTGCATCTGACTCAAACCGATGCACCGCGATGCTGACCATTGTCTCAAGTGCTAAGAAGGCGCTAACACATGCCGGAAGTGCGGTATGCCGCTCACAGTTATATCTTCTTCCGGAACTCCATCAGCCGCGAGCTGATACTTGGCCTGAATCAGCATACCACCACAGATGTCCAGTCGGTGACCATAAACCGCACAAAACATGCTGGCTGCACAATTTCTCTGGGCACGAAATAATGGTCGGTCGGCCTAAGCGTGACAGAAAAAGACTGGTGGACGATGGCCAACGAGCGTCTCCGCAGAAGCCGCTATTTGGTCAGTCTTCCTCTTGTACACTCGGACAGGGACTGCTGATACCACCAAGCATGCACATCCATGTCGGTAACCTCACACGGATCATTTCTTACAAGTCGCCGTAGCAGCGCAATGGCTACTGCACTGGCCGAGGCACGAGCAACAGTTACCTGTGGAACTTTCAGCCCGTGCCTCCCGGAATTTGAGAACGATAGCTGCTAGCTGCCACGCAGCAATGCAACGACTCAAGGAAACAGCGAGGTACTAGTATCGCCTTTCTTGCAAAGCTATGCAATGGTACAAACTACAACAAAGACAAGGAGGCCTGCGGCGAAGTGATGCCACAAGTTCTGGGGCCAAAAAATGCGTATGCACCTGCGATGTTTCACAATCCTTCTAGCAATGCCTGGTGGATCGCAGTATGCTGATCGAATAAGCTCGCAAGCAGCACCATCACATCGGGCTTTGCTTCGCACCTCATGCTGTTCACGGCGCGCAACATTTGCGTAACAATGTTGCATGAGTATCCTTATGCGGCCGTGGATCGGACAACCCTGCATGATGCATGCGTGCATGCGTGTGAGTTCTGCAGCACGGCGCCAAAGCATTGTTGTGTGTTTCGCCAAAAGCTGTTATCTAGCTGCAGTGTTGTGTTTGCCTTGGCAAGTGTAGCCGACAGTGCAGCGGATGGAAATGTACGAAATAGAGTAGCAAAGCTGAGCTTCTGCCTCCCTGGCCCACTTTGCCACGAACTTTGCTGTTCGATGCACACTAGTTGCGCCGCTTGATCAGTGCTTTGGGGCCAGCATTGCTCCGTGTCTGCTTCAGTGTGATGCACAGCGATATTGGTTAACAGGTGCGTGTCTATGCATGCCGAGGTGATCTCCGCTACCGACCCGATTCATGGTTCAAGCCTCTCGGACTTCTGAATCAGCAGGACAGCAGTTGGGTGTGAGCACGATGATGCAAAGCAGAGGCGAAACCCAATCATTGAACTCTGTTCGGAAGCACGCAGCATGCACAGAAACACCTCGTAAGGACCTGACACCAGCTGCATGAAATTGAGCAGAAAGCTCTGTGTAATACGCCGTTGCAGAGCATTGCCACCCGTGAAGGAGTCATGGACATTGTTGGCACGGTCGAAGAGGAAGCCGACAAACAGCCCACCCAAGTTTCCACACACAGTCTCGCCTCCAACGAGTCGCAAGTACCTGCCATGGCTCAAAGTTCAAATTTGGCTTACGCCTTACGCTCAGCCTTACAACCCAACGCATGCTCACAGCATGCAACTAAGACAAGACAAGCCAAGCAAACCAGTCTTTGTAGAAATAAATCAAGGTGCGATCCTGAGCATCTAATGTTGCAAGACAGTTTGTGGCATGCCTCATGACCAATGTGTTGCGTGTCAACTTAACGTAAGGCCACGGCAGCATATGGTGGCTCCATAAGATCCACCACACGCACTTCAACAGACTCATCCATTCGATTCAAGGCGGAAGCGAGGGCCTCCGGCAGCTTGCACCAGAGTGGGAACAGTGGGCCATCAAAACTCACACGACCTCCTGCATCCTCCCAAAAATCCCAAAGTCTGGGTTCTTTGATTCTGCATCCATGTTCACTGGGAGTCCAGGATGACTCGCACACACAGTGCAAGATGTTCCAGGGAACGCTCTGCTCTGCCCTTCCTTCAGACCATCCAGCAATTGCGACGTTCCGAGTTCAAAGGTGAGGTTCGATTAAGTGTAGATTGACATGTCAGTCGATGCCTGTGAGAGACGGGATGATTGCGGATGTTTTGATTTGGGCCTCCTTTTTCAATTTGTCGACATCATGCATCCAAGCGATTCAGAAGATGCCCCGATATGCCGGGGACTTCCACGCGCTACAATCGCTTCAGTACCAAGGCTGGGTTCAATGGCAATCCTAGCATGTCAAATCCCGACGGCTGAGCTGCACGTGCTTGCAAGAACGTGCGGACAATCAGAAAAAGGAGTTTGTACTTTACACGGAAGACTGGACGCAGGCTCCGATTTCTGACAGACCTGAGGCCTCCCTCATGCAGATAGTATGAACAAGGCGAAATATATTTGATCGGGAATGTGTTGGGGTCTGGTTGCGTTGGCCTGCTATGCTTTGCTTAGATTGCCTCATGCTGGAGAACCTGGCAACACATTGGCAGAAAGCGCACCAAATTTGAAGCACCAGTCAGCTCTGCATCGACCAGCCGGGCCTGTGCAGCCCGGGAGTGGCCAGACCCGACTGATGCATGGCAGATGAGAACCTTCCGGACCTTCCATGGCACGACAGCTTTCATTAGGCACTTACAGGGCCTTCAGTTAAAAGTACATTCGCGAAGATCGCCGATCTTTGAGTGCAAGGTGATTTTGGTATCTCTGGCTTCCCATGATCATGATTGCCATCATTTGCTATTTCAGTTGCCCTGACATAGTTAGCGAGGGTTTTCGAACACAAAGGATCTTGCAAATGAATCTTGGATGACACCCTCGCCAAGCACCTCGGACAACTCAATGATAGCAGGGGTTGAGACCAATACAACCCTTATCAGGCACGGCAACACTCGAACAACAGCGCCGATATTGTAAAGGGACATCAAACCGTCCCACTGCGTCCCATTCTCCCAGCCAAAGGGTGCCTTGCCACTTCGTCTCGAGTCCTCACAAAGTATTCCACACTCAGAGAACTTCAGACGCAAAGCAGACTGTGGCATGGCCTCGGCAACTCGAGTCCCTAACATTACTTCACATAGCCCTGGTGGTCAGAGGAAGGTGGAACTTGTGTGCAGATTCAACACACCAAGAAGACAAACCTTTGCTGAGCTTGTGAAGTCTTGCCTTGGCCTGGTGTTATGATGGGAGCCCTTCTGAAAGCCCTGAGAAGCCTCTTGTGCCACCTCTCGTAAATCAGCACAAGATAGCACAAGCCAACATTAGTGAGTCTCCTGGTTGTGTACCGCAGTGTGGATCAGAGCTCGGTATTGTCGAATTTTGCAGAAGGTGGTCGTCACATGGACTACCTTGCAAGCTGCAAATGTTTTCTTTGCATTCTGCAAGACACATGGCACTTAGCAAGATATGGCCAGTAGCATGACAGCTTCAAGTGTAAGATCACCGCCGTTGCAAAGACTTTGGCCATGAAAAGGGCTAGCACCAGTAAGACCATCCAAAGGAGTACTTCCGAGGCGTAGAGTTGCCTCAGCTCAACAAGATGGAGGCACCCACAAGCGCCCGCAATCCGACGGGAAAAATTTTAAGGTCGCTTCCTCCAGGCCTGCCACGTCCACAGTCCAAAAATCTGCATGAAGCCCAAGGTGGCAAGTATCTTAGATCAGTTGTCTCATCGATCGTGTCGCTAATGCCGTCCGCAATTCGCTGGAGCAGCGCCCTCGCAAGTCTGTGCAGCAGGCCACAAGGAGCACTGCAAAAAACCCAGCCAGCCCACACCTTAAGAGGCGCTGCGCTCCGTAGCCATGTGGCTCCGTGAGTTTCAGGAAAACTTGGAGGAACATGGACCAAGTGGAGAGGAAAATGTTCTGAGTTCCACACCAGCCATAGTCCATTTGTCAAGGACACAGCCGCAAAGACTTGCTCAGCCCTGTTGGGAGCAGCTGGGACTACATGACTGAAGCCAAGTCAGAAACAATGCCAACCTGTCTTGCCGGCCAAAGGGCTCTCAGTCCTTCGCTGTCGTTTGGTTGTTCACTCTTTCACTCTTCCCCCTTCGTTGCATGTGTTTCCATGAGCCTCGTATCTGAGTGTCGACTTGCGCGTTGCCGCTCCATACCTGAGGCGCTACACACTCAACGAAAACAGCATACTCACCTGATTTAGCTTTGCTCACAGATACTCACAGCAGCATGGAAAAAGGCCATATGCGCCTCACGTGGACTTTGAGTCCGAGACGGACACGTGCGGACAGTGCCCGGCGCCTGCCAGCGGAAGCAAAGGAAGCGAAGGAAGCAAGGTCAACCCGGTGCAAAGACAAACAACTCATTTCAGAGCCGACTTTTTAAAGCAACGTTTTCCTTAAACTGGAAGCTGCCAGGACGAAACTGAAGAGACCGGCTTGGGTGAGAAGCGCATGAGCATCGTCATTCAATGTTCGTTTACCTTCGCTTCTGCCACCCACCATGGCTTGGTGGGACTTTGTGCATCCTGTATGTTTTTGACCACGGGCAGGCTACACCAGAGTCGGACTGAAGAGCCCCAGGAAGAGCACTGAGATGCCTGAAGCTGCATCGAGGGGCATGCTTCGAGACTCAGGATCAGTGATCCGCAGGGCTTGTAGTAACTTTGTAGTAGCTTGCTGTAGCAGCTTGCTGTAGCAGCTTGTAGTCCTAGAGCTGGGATATCTTCTCAAAGGGCTGTTCTTGAGGGCAAGTTTTATATCTGCATGGGTGCTGGTACACAATGCAACCCTTGCGACTGGTATCATCGTATCTGCCATGGTGCGGGTCGAAATCTGACATTGCGATGTTGCGTACCACGATTTGTGTATCCAAGCTGGCAAACGGCTTCAAACCCCTGCTGCTGAACCTTCGCAGTCGAGAAACTCAAAATTGAACTCGCGCTTGCTTACAATGGAACATGTATTAGATGCTTGTAGGAGATTGCACAAGAGACTGGGAACACTCGGTTTGCAATGAGATCTGCTTTTGTCACAGGGCCGTGGCATCTGCTTCTGTACGCCGATGGCTTTGCTCTGCTGTAATAATGATCAACTGATTCTGCCAATGCGCGAAGGACAAGCACTGTCCAAAGTTTGTCAAGACTTGCTCGTGCAGGTCATGACATCTCGAAAAAATTTCGCCGGTCTCAAACGCCAATGATTTGCTCCACTGCATCCAAGCCTCATCAGGTGTTGCGCATGTGGACATGCAGTGGGTCAACCATGGTCAACCTTGCCCCATCGCTTTTTCACAGTGCCTGTCTCATTCTCGGCAGCGATGATTCCAATGGCAGCAAACATGGCAAAGCGGCCATTGTTGATTTCTCGGTTACGCCATTCGGTATCGTACCTCGACGCAAACCACATAAGCCGGCACAAACTCATCCAGCTTCGAGCCTACAAGCGCAACCAAGCCGCTGTCCCACATTCTTCTCGACCAGGCCCAAAGGGTCGCCGAAGTCGCCGGGCTGAAGGGCAGGACATGCTGGGAGATGTCAAGATCTGTACTTTGCAAAAGTCCAGACCATAGGACCGCAGTGTCGTGTTCAAGACAGATGCACCTCCTTGCCATCTTGCTCTTCGAACGCGCCTGTCTCAAGGTAACCTTTCATCAGGTTTGAATAGTGTTCAGGCTCACATCTGCAGCAGTGCGAGCCAGCCTGCGAGCCCTATGAGGACGAGGAAGCCCAAACCACCCAACCCTGATGTGATGGCTTCGATGCCACGCGGCACACCACCAAACCTTGTCGTCGGCTGCACGACGACAGGAAGGATTCAAATAGAAAGATCTGCGCTGCGGCTGTCAGTTGGCAAGGTGGGATGCAAGGACGGGACCCCGGAAAAGTCACAAAGTGCTGGAACACAGCACCGGCAGCGGCCATCATGGCCTGGAAGGGTACTGACAAGACAGGCTTCAGTAGAGCACCGCGCTGACGTGCAAAAGCTGACACCTGAGAAGCACACAACCCTCCCATGCTTCAACTCAGCTGTTCGATACCTGTCAGATGCGACATGTCAAATTGAGTTATATTTAAAGAAGTTCTCGTGCTTCTTATAATGTTGCACCCGCTTTAGTGGATGGGACCGCTAGTATGCGATGTTCCGAAAATCTTATACAGAACCCCCATTGTTTAGGGTGGTTCACTATTATGCGATGCTGTCCCGGCTGGGGTTGAAGGGCGGGGGGCCGGGGAGCCAAAAACTAAAAAAGTTTTGAATAAGAAACTCCGGATTCTTTGGTGTCCAGCCTTATTTAAATTCCTTGTAAATTTCATTACGAAACAGTGTCGAAACAGGCCCCAAACAATTTTCCAAGGGAGTAGCCCACGAGCTGCCCTGATTCGCTTTAGCAAGTTGTTTCGGTGGTCCGCATTAATGCGGAGCCCCGGCGACCGTGGAGCTACAAAGCCTGGAAAGCTTAGAAACTCAAGCTTCAAGGCTTCCCCTCAACCCTCGACCCCTAGCTGCCCTACCCCAGCCCCCGTCCCAGCCCCATCCCACATCATTAAGGATCCCCGAAAACCCCAAAATTGTTTGGGGGGGGGGGGGGGGCCCCACACTAAAGCGAGTCCAAGATTATGAGACACTTAGAAGCGAGAGAAGCACAAGCATCTGTTGATAATCGGAGCCCTGTCATGTCTTGCCTAATTGTGACTCGGTTCCTGCGCCCAGCTGCCAACCACCCGCCCCGTGCCATCCCGGGCCCCTCCCCATGAGCTGGCACCGCCGAATCTTATTCAGAAGTGCGTTTTAGGGTGCAAGGGGCCAAATCTGCATTCCCCAAATGTGCCGCTCATGACTGACTGTCGCGGTAGTTGTTTGTCGGAATCTACCATGGAAGGTAGGCGCACTTATCCGCCGAGGCCGGAGGACTGAGGCGTTTAGATCCAGGTCTAGGGAACCTTAGATAGTTGCCCACCCCCTAACCCCCTGTCAGGGCACAGTTGCGCGGCTAAGCTTTTTATGACCCGACATGGATTCCTCCCCGTACCTAGCTGACCAGTGTCCAGCTGCGGACGACTTGCCGGGACCAGGGGGGATCTTGGGGCCATACTCGGCAGATGTGAGGCGGCTTCGCAATAGCGGTTAATTAAACACCACTGAGCGTTTGCAACTTGAAGACAGGACACATACAAAGATTGCATCACTTGCAGGCACCTGAGGAACTTCTCCTCCTCGCCTGCAAATCAAAATTGCGGTGCGTACTGGTGTGCACAAGAAGGTTCTGAGATTGACGGCTGCCAAATTTTCCTCCCCAAAGCAAGTAGATGAAGAACGGCATACGTTCGCAACCACAGCCCGATGGATCAGCACGGACCCTGCGTATTGTTCCTGCATTGACAAGTTGCTCGCGATCAACGGTTGCCCGCGACGTTTTCGGTATTAAGGCCTGACTTCGCTTCGCTGACTTCGCTTCCGGACACGGGATAGTTTGCAGGCTGATTTCGAGGAGGGCAGGCATTCCAAGGAAAAGCCTTGTTTTCCAGATTCGAAGTGCCGCCGAGATCATATAATGTAGTATAAGACTGATGAAGCCAGTGATCAACAAATGGGATCCACTGGGATCCATAGTAGACTCTTCATCGCAATATCGCTGTCACGCTGTCTTGTCCTTCGATTCAACAAAGCACACCCCATTGCAATACCGCAGCTGACAGCTCACATGAAAAATTCAAAACATCTCACTGCTGTCGCTGCTTGCGGCTCTAGGCCTTTGCACAGGTTTGCCGGATCCCAGAAGCCCAATGGAGCGGTGACGCCCACCTGCCTGCAGAGGCTGAGGCTGGTTGCAGCATGGGCATCTTGAGTGGGAGAATGCAAGGATGCAAAATGCGATGTGCGCAAAGCGAGGTGCTTAGAGCCCTGGCACCGACTTTCTGTTGGCCCTCTGCCCACTCCAAGCTCAGCTGCTCGACAAGAAGCAACCCATTGGTCCCCCGGGATACCAGACCGAAAAGTCATTGTCTTATTCGCTCGGAAACAAGTGTTCGAACTCCAAGTTACATCCTCTTCCCGGCTCTTCAACCTTGTTGAAGCCCTAGTAAGTAGAAAAGTGGCTGAACTCAGGCTAACAACATTGAGCAAATTGAACATGTGTATTTGTTAACATAAGACAACACGAGTTCTGTGTTCTGTCACTACTTCCCTTGTATGAAAGAAAAGTGGCCCGAAGTCCGAAGATCCCCCTTGCTCTTGCCAGACCGTCCGCAGAGGCATCCCAAGGCTGAGGCTTGGTGATGTCAAATCCAACCGCTGCCTGCGCCAAAGTGTTGAGAAAAATGAGCTTTTCAACATTTTCAATACAATGCTCTCACGACTGTTATAATCTGTTATATCTCGTGGGGGGCAAGGGCGCAGTCACCCCAAGAACAGCAGTCGCCTCCTCTGCTGGCTCTTCGGAACTCTCCTCGCGAACAGCTCGATTGCCACATTGCCAAACACAACCCTGCCCAACAGGTGATTCCACACCAACATATCGACCCTCCCGAAAGACCCAAATGCCTCGACGGCAGCTTCCTTCTCTGGAGGAGTCGAAGGTGCCTCTAGCACGACGAGCTGCGAGCTATAAGTGATGGCACTCCACATCAGTTCATGGCAGAACATCTGCAAGCGCCCATTTACGAGCACCACCATTTTCACCTGTCCAATCCTGTTGTGCTCGACTCGCTAACATGCTGACAGCAAGCTCGGCGCAGCCTCGATTGCCCCACCCTGCCCACTATAGACGGCAAACTCCAAACAAAAGCCTACGCGTTGTCTTCCAAGCCTAATTGCGTTCCACTGAGAAACAAAGCTTCCATTCGCGAGTTCCAACCATGTTCCGCTCGGGAAACCTCAAAATTTCATCATTCTCCGAACACTGAAAACGGATCACTGCCGCTGTCCCCGAACTCTGCAGCTCCCCCATGCCTACACGAGTCTTTCAGTTGTTGTTGTGACTCCATTCGCTGCAGCTTCTCTGAACAATTCCTGCCTCTGCTTTCTCTGCCTTGCGTGCAACACGTGCCGCACGGACCTGTTCGACAGCGATTCCAGGAATCGGCTAGCTCGCGGCTCGACCAGAGTCTCAGTGCGCAGCGAAGGTTGCAGCCGCGGCGGCGCCCACAAAACTCACCAACAAGCCAGAATTACCTTTCGTGCGCAACTGTGAGAGAGGAGGAAGTAAGACTCAGACTAAGACTAAGACTAAGACTGAGACTGAGACTAGGACTCGGACTAGGACGATGACAAAGACAAAGACCAAGACTAAGACTAAGACCAAGACCAAGACCAAGACCAAGACCAAGACCAAGACCAAGACCAAGACCAAGACCAAGACCAAGACTCAGTAAGAGTGACCAATTATGTTTGCTGTACTCGAGAAAGGCTTGAGAAAGGAGCTGAGAGCGGGGCTCCGAGTGCACATATCGGCTCAAGATAGAACTATCTGCCTTTTGCTTGTGCATACGATTCATAGCGATTCCACACTGCGCTGGGCAGGTGTCGACGGGGCACTGAGGTTTCAGAGCAGGTGAGAAAATCTTGTCCTTCCCCCTACCCCGCCCTTGCTGGCCGTCGGCCTTCTGCGAAGCAGAATTAGGCCGGACGCCAGTGCCGCCGACCCCCGCGTGCCCCCGGTGCCCAGAGGGCGCGCATCATGAGCATCAGCGGGTCCAGCCCGGGACCGCAAGGCGCGCATCAGGAGCATCAGCGGCTCCCGGGGCGGGACCCCGGGGGCGCATCAGGAGCATGATGCCCCCCAAAGGGCGGGCATAAGCGACGTGTCTAAGCCCGGGGCTAGGAAAAAGGGAGCGTAGGGGCCTTATAAAGTGCTTAGAAACTTTCAGGGACTCTAGGAGCCTCAAACGCTTAGAGATTTGAAGGGAGTTTAGGGGCCTGAAAATGCTTAGAAACTTTAAGGGAGTTCAGGAGCCTCAAACGCTTAGAGATTTTAAGGGAGTTTAGGGGCCTCAAAATGTTTAGAAACTTCCAGGGAGTTTAGGAGCCTCAAGCGCTTAGAGAGACCCCGACCCTGTGACGGATCTGCTCGCCCCGCGCTTCTGCCTGCGCTGCCCGCCCATGGGCGCAGCTCCTTAAAATCCGGCCTGGCCGTCGTGGACAATTGCCTAAAGGCTTGCCTTTATGCGGGCAGGAAGACAGAGGAAGGTCGGAGGGGAGGTGGTGGAAGTTCAAACTGAATCCGAACGGACTAGCGATGCACATCCGCCTGTCGAGCCAGCAGCTACGCAGCAGGCGGGGGGGAGTCAGCAGGCGGAACATGCTGTGCCGTTGCGTGCGGGCAGCAAACACACTTGTACACGTACATCCACGCGCACGCAGAGGATTATATATGGGGTTTCGGCTGTCCCTTCCTGTTCTTTCTTCTCTTCTGCTTCCTGTTCATTTGTTTTCTTACTTTTTTTTATTTTTCTTACTTGTCTTCTTGTTTTTTTATTGTTGTTATTATTCTTCTTTCTCTTCTTCTTCTTCTTCTTATTCTTCTTATTTTTCTTCATTTTGTTATTCTTCTTTCGTTTCTTTTATTCTTATTCTTTTTCTTCTTTCTTTTATTATTATTCTGCTTATTCTTCTTTATTTTCTTATTATTCCTGTTTTCTTTCTTTTCTTCTTTTCATTCTTCTTTATTTTCTTCTTCTTCTGCTTATTCTTCCTTTTTTATTGTTATTTCTCTTCTTCTTCCTCTTCTTTTTCTTCCTTTACCCTTTCTTCTTGCTATTGTTATTCCTTTTCTTTTCTTCTTCTTATTCTTCTTTTTCTTCTTCTTTGTGTTATTATTCTTCTGTTTATTCTTCTTCTTCTTCTTCTTCTTCTTCTTCTTCTTCTTCTTCTTCTTCTTCTTCTTCTTCTTCGTTCTCTTCTTTTTTTCTTCCTTTTACCCTTTCTTCTTGTTATTATTCTTTCTCTTTTCTTCTTCTTCTATTTATTATTATTTCTTTTCTTCTACTTCTGTTTCTTTTTCTTTCTCTTCTTATTATTCTTCTTCTTTCTTTTCTTCTTACTTATTTTCTGCTTCTTCTTTTTCTTCTTCTTTCTGTTCTTCTTCTTTTTATTCTTATTTTTATTCTTCTTCTTTCTCTTCTTCTTATTTTTGCAACCCTAAACCCAAACCCGAGTTTCAGCTTTCAGACGGCCAGGCCAGCCCGTGCCGCAAGGCCTGTAGATATACATATTCGTGTACGTATAAATACATATATATATATATACATATGTAAAACATGTGCAGATACAGAAAAATCAGAAAAAAAGAGAGAGAGAGAGAGAGAGAGCAGAGAGATAGAAGAGAGCGAGAGAGAGCGAGAGAGAGAGAGAGAGCGAAATAGAAAAAAAAGAAGGATAGAGAGAAAGAAAAAGAAAGAGAGAGAAGTGCTCATTGCAGCTCGACACAAGAACACGTATCCAATTCAGCACTTGTCCTGCCTGGCCTCCAGGACCCAAGGCTCCCTGGGCTGTCTGCGGCAGAGTCATGGTCTGCACTGCAGCCTAGTCAAGCACTGAAGGCGTCCTGATGAATACTACAACAGCATACAACAGCACCATGGCAGCACGAGAAAGGCAACCTGGGAGTGGAAGCGATCAAAGGTTGCCAAGGAAGTACCAAGGAACATTGCGCGGATGTGCCGAGGACGTCGATGACACGGAGGGTACAAAAAGAGCTCCGGGCACCAAACCTTCTCCATAGGCAAACATCAACAATCATCAACATCTACGTCCATCATTGCAGTAGCTTCCGTCTGAGGGGTCCACATAGGCCAGCGCCAGCCACTAAGGCGGCTGTAGAGCCTGGCCCCGACACGTGTCCCTGCTGAGCAGCTGCTGTGAGACTTGTGCACGTCTATTGCTCCAAGCGTTCTGCCTCTTACTCGGCGCCCCATGACTAAGCAAACTGGACCGAACACAAGTCTTGAACTTCAAAAAGCATTCGGCCAGAAGCATCAACCGCTCCGATTGGATGCAATGATGAGCTTCACAGACCTAGACCCGAACTGCTAGCTGTTAGCATCAACCTGACCGTGCGCTCGCAAACTTCTTAGCATAAGCAGTCTGCGTGCAGATGAATTTTGGGGGTGCATTGCAAATTAACGCTAATTAGGATGCAAATGCTATGAACAGTGCCTTTGAAAGCTACTCTATCACCTACTGCCTCACCAGTGTGGGCGACTGAGAGAAGCCCATGTTGAAAATGGCAGGCTTCCGAACATGAGGTTGCAAAGGCTGGCCACTCGCAGCAACTTCGCATCAACACTTCATTGTCTTCAGTCTGCCATGACGGCATCCATCGCGTCACTGTCTGCATTGAAGTACCTTGGAATGCTGACAGGCGTATGCGGCGTTGCTGCATACAGCCCGACATAAGCTAGCTGGGAGCACTCGTGCTGGAGCGTCTGCTTTGCGGAGACCCGATTCACTGGGTCGTATCGCAGCATCGAGTCCTGCACCGCAAGCGACTCGCACAGGACTTGATACAAGTGCCTCGACATCAGGCTTTGTGGTTTGCGGAGTTTGCACCCAGTCCAGAAGCCGCACGCCGGCCTGGAAAAGAGGAAATCAAGTGGCAAGTGGAACATCACTGTGAACTTTCCTCACTCCTGGGGAACTAAGCAGCAAACAGCTCCGAGTTGCGCTGCAATGTTCCGAATCTCTGTCCACGGCCGACGCCGCCACCTAGCATCAGCTGAACGCGCTCCTGCCTTCTAACTCAGGTTTGCTTAACAGATACTAACAGCACCGTAGCCCTTTTGATCCTTTGGGCCATAGTGACAAGCCCGCTTTAGGCCCTTTAGGAGTATCCTTTGGCAAGTAAAGACCAGTTCATGCCAAATCATGCCAAGCAGCATGCCTGCAAATGGGCAGAGGTTCCCAGAGAATTTAAGTAGGTTTAGTTGGAGAGGAAGTATCCGCGATGTGTTTTTACCCGCATGCTGATGTCGGAGTCGTGTGTCACGTGCTGCCAAGAAGCTGTGGGAATGACGGCTTGAAGTCTGGAAGGTCCGACAGTCCAGGCCAATCAGCCTCCGATAAATTGGTGAACGATACTGGAAGACATCTATCACGAAGAGGCAGATCCCCTCGACTGCATGTAGCAGACTGTAGCACATCCAGTGACTTGCAGCTCGTGCCCACAGCGGCCTCTGTCGGTGTGCCGAGCTTTCGGAAGATTTGGAAGATTGTATCTATCTCACTGTCTCCATGGAACAGTGCAGCACCTTCAGGCTTGCATCTTGCAAATTCCAGCTCCAAGATTCCAGGATTGAACTGTCTCGAAAATTCTCCAAACACCCAGGGACAAAGAGCATCGCAGAGCAGTGAGTTCTGAAGGCATCCAGGGATCGTGCCAGTTGCCATTTCCCCGAGGATGCATCCAGCACTCCACACATCCACACCTGAAGCACAACGAAATCAATACAAAATGCACAAGATGGAGACTGTGTACATCTCTTTATGCTCTGTCTTGCGAAAGTACTAACAGTCGGCGACAAAGAATACAAAGAGCAACGCATGTCACAGAAAAACGACTTGACCTGTTCTAGTCCGAAAAGCTAATCCGACAGCTTTCTGCAGAACTATTGTGCAGTCCATAGCGTTTATGCTTGTTTTGACATTTTGGAGGTCGAGCTTTCCGCTGAAAATATCTTCCTTTGGCTTCGTGGTCTGGATGCTCGAGCACAACCTCGCGCACAGCGCCAGCTTCCACGTAATTCAGGCTTCTGTGGGGCCAAGCCTCAAAGTGACAAAGTGGTAACATTCTGTAGGGGCTGACTCGGAAGCCTTACAAAAGTTTACGAGTACGGTAGTGCGAGAAACGAATCACTTGTCAAGGTTGCTCACATCCAGGGACATGAGTGAGTTGCTTTCTGAGTCTGATTCCTTCTGCAGATTTTCAGTGCACACAATCGGACAGATTCTCCGCCCTGGTTTGCGTGCGCGATCCGTGGTCGCGAGAAATCCCTTTTCAGATCTCCGGTGTTACATGGTGTTACCACGGCCTAGTACGATCCTGGTCAATTAAGTGTCAGGCCTCTTCGGCGCAAAAGAGAAACATCTACACAGCGGCGCGCACGCAGTATACAAGTACTAACACAAAGAGGCTGAGCCCGGGAGCCAAAACTGTAGGGCCCAGGGCTGGAGACGTGTCCGGGCGATCCACCATACGAGTTTTGGCGACTATACTACAGTGGCAGACCGACTACGAGCTGCTGGCTAAACAAGTGTTAGATCCCCGTCAGCGCTGTCAATTCCCGCACCTGTGCGTGCCTGCTACAGTACACGACTCATGAACATGAATTGCTGAGGCATGCTCCCAGCGAGTATTCTTCACATCCAAACAGTATCTCAGGGGAACGATACCTGATCAAAGAGATCAAGTCAAGGATGCTTGCTTGGCGAAGCTGCCTCAGTTTGACATGAGGCAGCGGCCACGTCGTCACCACCTGACAAAAACAGTTCTCTGCTGAGTTGTTTGCTCGGCCCTGCACGCCACGCTGTAGCCGCCTCGTGCGTGTACTTCGGCAGGGGGAGATTGAAAGCCTGCTCCAGGCAGTCATGAGACTCCATGAGAGTGCACGGCGAACTCCACCAAGGAGAATCAACGAGAGTCTGAGTATTCGGCGCGTGCCATTCCAAAGTCCGCAATTTTGAGGTTGTCCTTGAGGCTGGAGTATGCTGGAATGCACTGCGGAGCATGATCCGTTGTTGAGAAGTCCAGCAAGCTTTCGGCTCGGAACTGTGACAAGTGACTGAAGAAGTTCGGCACTTTACGAAGCTGGCTTGGGTGTTTGACTCTTAGCTATTTTAGTGTCAAAGGCGGACGTGAACAACCAAACCAACATCGGCTCGGCCTCACCATCGACCAAGATGTTTTGAGGCCTCAGCTACAATCCGAGTCTTTGCATCCCTAGCAAACTACAGCAAACTGCCGTTAAGTCCACCACTTGAGATCTCTGTGAATGATCCTGAAAGGACTTCTTCGAGGGTTGCATGCAGGGTGCTGACTGGTTTGGTCCTCCTTGCGTGGCAGTAGTCGATACCATTCATCAGCTGCTTCTGCAGGGATCTCACCTCGTGTCGTAAGACAAATGCTAGGCAAACTCGCCGCACGGAATCTGGCTGATGCATGTTGATGTTGTCAAACAAGGCACGACTGCTGGCTCCAATCGCAATCCAAACTTCTTCATGTACCTTAGTGCCGGCGTGTGTTCTGAGCAACTCTCGAGCTGCACTACTGCTACAAACTGCCAGTCGGCAATAAACACACGTGCCAGTCGCGGACAGTCTGAGAAGCATGCTGCTTCAAGTTCGCTTCCACGAACTCGAAAACCAGATGCAAGCGCCCTGGACTGCAGGCAACGTCCAGCCTTAGCAACCATGAAACCAAGCAAGATAGCCCAAGATAGAGCAAGATAGCTTTGATCACAACAGGTGAACAGAAGCAACGCGACAAGACGCAGTCGACAAACTGAGACGAGCTCAACTTCACAACGTTTGGATGATCAGCCGCCTTCAAGCTACACAAATGCTTCGAACATGTGCTAAAAGCAAATCTCTGTGACTGGAAATTATGTATGGTTCTGTTGCACCTTCAGCACGGCCACTTCTCGAATTGCTGTACTGGGCATCTTGGCAAGTTGGCATGTGGAGTGCTGCTTTTGTGCCACACTTTGTGCGAGAAACTACGGGTCCAGAATGCTGGCCAAGCAGCCCCTTCCTCTTCGTGCTCCATTTTGACACGCTTTATGGCAACTGTCTTTTGCCTGGCAGGACTCTGGCTGGTGAGGTAATTGACGGGAATTGCTTCGCCAGGTCACGGGATGTCCAAGCTCAGCAGGACTGGGCATTGCACAAAACTATGCCAGCATGTCAAGCGATTGCAGAAGGCGCGGTGTACGGCACCGTAGGTACCTTCACCCACCGGCTTTTCCTTTTCCTGCGCATGCTGGTGAAGCTTTATTAGTAAGATGTGCATTGCCCCAAACTGTAGGCAGTTGCATGAGCATGTCACCACGAAACGATCGTGATGTTGGAGGCCCTGGGATTGGTTGAGAATGCTCATGCGAATCTCTGATATCGCATGCAACGCCTGTACAAATTCATGGCAAAAGTCGTGATGAGAGCGAGAGTGATGGAAGCGAGTGACTTCAGCGTCGTGCCTGACGCTTCTTCAATTGTTCTTCAATGAGCCCTGCCGCACTAAGTGCCTCAATCACATACTGCCGGTCGAATCGTCGCTCGTCGTCTAGCCTCTGAGTCTCTAAGTTCTTCAGCATGCATATGCTCGAACCTGGCATAACCTTGCGCCTGAATGGCAACAGATGAAGAAAGCAACAGATGGTGAAGAAAACAGTGAGCAGTAGCAGTGATTTTACCATGCTCAGTTCCGAACCGAACGTGCAGTGATGCGTGATCCTTGTGCACTGCTGAGGTGCAGGCATTGCAGACAAATACATAAATCATAGCTGTAACAGTCACAAAAGTACTAAGAAGAATGAGATCAGCGCAGAATGCGCAAGCTCCCTCAAGTCCCTGCAGAAAGCACATTTTCTCACGATGCAGAAGAGGCAAACATAGGAAAGCCCAAACGTGATTTACATCAGACCAGCTGGTGACCAGTTGACAAAGATTGGCCTGAGCAGCAGCTCTCGCACCGGGGGACTTCGGAACTGGCCTCGGTGGACTTCATTCCGTGTCATTGTCCACGAACGGATGCCAGCTCGAAAGAAAGTGATCAGCTCTTTTGACACGGGCAAGAGGAGGCTGGACAAGCCCTTGCAAACCTAACGGGTGCAGTATACTGTGAATCGAAACCCGTTCTGTCGCGGGATCCGGGATCCCTCACCACCCCCCACCCTGTTGCACATGTACGTCCCGCCCTGCTGTTTCATAGGGCCTGTCTTTGTTGCAGCTAATATAGTTCACAGCTCGAACAGACATGATCAGGCACGGTTCAAGGCGATAGTCTTTCTGCAGGACGATGTGGACACGTGCGGGCTTCAGCGGCTTCAGTTGTAACTTCTAAGTTGAGTTTCTGGGGAAGTCACCGCGTGTCCAGCCATTCTTCTCAAGCACCTTAACAGTGAAACGTGCCATGTCCGAGGCAGGTATGTGAAGCGTTAACAGCTGCCACAAGTCAAGGCGACTGTTGGCTGCGCACCGGGCAGGCCATAAGCCTAAATCTTAGTCTTGTAAACAAATATGAGTCTCAGACCCTGCGAACATCGGGACAGAGCTCGGACGGCCTGGCAATTGACTGCCAGCACAAGCTAAGACAACAGGTTTGTCCAACCTCCGAAGTTTGGCGCACAACACGCTGGTCCTGCCAAGGGTATGTAGGCGTTGGAAGCTAAAGAGAAGATCATTGCAGCAACAACGGCAAGTTTTTGTCACGGTCCAATCCGAGGAGAGGCCAGACTGGCTCATAGCCTCCCAG